CTGTAAAATCAGCAGATAATGAAGAAAAAAAATATATATTGATGTAACTGAAGGACCCTGGAAACAAAGAAGCTATACACAGAAAACAACCTTTACGAATACTAAAATGCATGAATAGCACATTGCTTTCTAAACTTATCTGGGAGATTAAAAACTAAAAACAAATCACACCAAAAATATCAGGGAAAAGAAGATCAGCCTACAACAATCAATCTAAAAAGTATAAACTCTGCCATAATTACCTTCCCAGTTCAAAATAAACTACTAAATAAATGATCAGAACTCTTCTCAAAATGCAGACACAAAAACAAATTTTTATTATACTACTTAAAAATTGAAAATGAACAAGAATAAATGAAAATAAATAAATAAAATACACAAAACAATTATATAAATTAATCCAAACAAATAAGTAAATGAATTTAGTAAATAATAAGCAACAAAGCACAATCACCAGAATAACCATTAGAATAATACAATAGACTAGCCACAATGCATCACTGACCTGTATATAGATAAAAAGTTGAACAAAAAAAAACAATCCACATGGTCTGACAATAGCATTTAACATGAAACAAAGTGGTTAAGCACCTTATATCCCATGATCTGCTCTCTGACAAGCAATATGTTTTCCGCTTTGCCCATTCTACAGCTGATGTGCTCACAATAACAGAGAAGCTTGTGCCATGGCTCTAGTTATCTCTAAAGCATTTGATAAGGTTTGGCATGCCAGCCTCCTTCATAAGCTTCATGGATATGGAATTTCAGGTCAATTATTTGACTTAATACAATCATTCCTGTCAAACCGTTTAATGAAGGTCATCCTTAACAAATTCTCCAGTTCCTTTCCTATGAATACAGGTGTTCTCCAAGGCTCTATCCTGGGCCCTACTCTGTTCCTTATCTTCATTAATGATCTTTTCAATGTTATCAGTTCCCAAGTAGGCATCTATGCAGACAACATTACTATTTACTCCTGTCTTAAAAGCAAATCTGGTATTGCGGACAAAACTAACCTGGCCATTAGTCTCAGAAAGGATTTCCAATTGGTTGTTGACTGGGGCAGGAATTGGCTGGTTAACTTTAATACCTCAAAAACAAAACTGCTCTCTATTACTCACCACAGGGAACTTTCCCTGCCTACCATTAGAATGTCAACTCTACAAGAGCACCTCTTTGCTTGGTCTCACACTATCAAATACATTGAATCAATAGCTTCATTCAAGCAAGGAAAGTTGGTTCCCTGTGTAGTGCCAGAAAGTTTTTCTTGCCTGAGTCCATCCTTCAAATCTATAAATCAACCATTCGCCCTTGCATTGAATATTGCTGCCATATATGGTCTGGTGCTCCTGCTGTTCTTCTTAAGGTCCTCAATAAAATCCAGAGACAGATATGCAATGTGATTGGCCTTGATCTGTCATCTTATCTACAGTCTCTCTCACAGACATGCCGTCACCTCCCTCTGTCTTTTCTACAAATACTTTCATGGTAACTACTCCAACAAGCTACTTTTGCTAGTTCCCAAACTGCATGAATTTAAATGTGCTACTACGTGGCATCTCAGTATCACCCTTTTACTGTCAAAACGGTTAAATGTAGCTGTCTCTTCTACTCCAACAGCTTCATGTCTCACACCTCCTATCTGTGGAATTCCCTTCCTATTAATTGTTTCCTTGATAGCTGTAATCTTCAATTATTCAAATGTAATGTCAATCGACATCTCCAGATACCTTGATCTATTCCCTGTCCTTCTCTTCATCCTTTCCTCTATCACACCTCTTTACTCTCACTCCTACTCTCTGTAACCCCTTGCAGGCTAGTGGCATCCTGTCTTGCTTGGGGTGAAATGCTTAAAAAAATATATTTATTATTATTACTTAAATGATATTTTTAGTGGATAGCTATATTTGAATAGAAGCTTCATTTATTTATTAAATGGTATTATTTATTTTTGAATATTTAAGAAATGTGCACTTTGACAAAACTTGAACCTGCATCCCCCTTGGCAGGATAAGCTGTCGTTAGATCTGACGTTCTTGAGATTCAGCCACAAAGTGCATCTATCATCAAGCAAAGTTGAGGGGTGCCTTATATATAATAATATATATATATATATATATATATGAAGTAAAGAACAAAGATGATACACTACAAAAGATTTTTGTTGCTTTGAAATAGATATACTTGAATGTTACACAGACCGACAAGCCCAACCACTGGAGTCTGTCTATATTTCTGAGATGAGGTATTATGTACAGTATTTACATTAGTCGGACTATTGTCCTCATCTTTGTCGCCATATTTGTCAAACGTTTCGGCCTCTGTACGCTCTGGCCTTCTTCAGGTGGTAGGAATTTCGAACCAACCCTTTATTTCGATCACTGGGGCAGACTGTTCCAGTTCCACGTGCCATGTTTGATGGATGTCAGTTATCAGTTATCTCCTGCCAATTTTCCCTCTGAAAGTTCTCCACTGCCTTAACCAGGAATTGAACTCACCCTCTTTGGGTCTGTCACTGGATCTAACCAACGCCTTTATCCACTGTGCCATGTGTCCTTGAGTACAACGGCCGAAACGTTGTGACAAATATGGCAACAAAGATGAGGACAATAGTCCGACTAATGTAAATACCCAACCACTGGAGTCGCCACTGATACATACATACACACACACACACACACACACACACACACTCACACACAGATATATATATATATAGATATATAAGATCAAATTAAGAGAAATTATATAGCAATTTGTTAGCTTATCAACTTTCATTATTGAATCATTTTATTACAAATCATGAATGTATTGAGAAGAAATCAATATACTTAAATAGATTTTATCTAGGCACCTTCAATAAAACTGATACATAATGTTTAAAATGCATTTCAAAAAATGAAAAATCTTTTTTGAAGCTTTAATTTTAATTCCAAGTCAAGAGATTAAATTTAACATTTTCAATAAGCCAAATACTTTGGTGTATTTAAACTGAATTTAAACTGATTGGAATCTTTTTTTTTATTTATTAGTAAAGTCAATGAATTTGTCCATATTGACTGATTTGTCAACAAAACATAATTCTCTTTATTGAAAAAATATTTAAAAAATAAAATATACTTTTCTGAAACTTTATTTGAGGAAGATTAACTGATTTAAAGTTTAATTAATCTGAATTGAAACAAACATTACTTTTAGTTTAAAATATTGTGATATATTAAACTAAAACTTTTTTTTAAGATGGAGTGGGTATTTTTAGACATATTGAGTGTTTTATTGACAATCTGATATTTGAGAAATTTAACTAAGGGGAAAATAACTAGAAAAATTACACAACAAATATAATGTAAATGTTGTTTTTTAAATATTTACTTTTAACTGCCTAGTAATCGTAAAAACTTAGAATATTTTAAGCATTCTAATATTTTATTGAATTTTAGATTTTTGTCTGTATAGCCTTACTTATGAAGATACTTGTTAAGAAAATTACCAATAAATTTTAAATTTACTCTTGTTACTGCTTTTATGTTCTGATAATGTTGTGTATGGATGTCTGTATTTGTAAAAATCAACACATTTATACACACACAAAATAAATTCAAAATTCTTTTTAAAATACTGGGGTTTATTGTATTAAGCTTTTCCATATATTAATAGTAAATACAGTTTTAATCTAATAACAATATCACTTGGCTGCTACAAATTAATACAGTTTTAAAAGATTTTAATGTTCATAGTTTATTCAAATTAAAATTTTAAAAAAATCAAAACAATTATTATAAAAATTCCTTATTCTTCAAAAGAATTATTTTTCTTAAGATAATAGTATTCAGAATATATTTTATTCATAAAAGTAATTAAAAAACCTTTTAATTCAATAATATTTTAGTTTTATTGCATTTTTTATTCTATACTTCAGAGGAAACTTTCTGTAATTGTGTGTCCTGTTTGATCAAAAACATTTCATAATTTTAATTCTCCATGAACTTGTACTTATAACTAATATAAACATTAAGTGTTACAGAAAGGAATTTCTCAATATTTCATAAAATTAAATAAATGGAGATAAAAGATTTAAAGTTTTTTTACTAAAATTTTCTGGAGAAAAGAATTTAACAAATAATTTCATTCATTTGCGAATAAATCCTGAAAGATTTAAAATCCAACAATTATCTGATTTCTGCAAGAATTTCCAAATCAGTAAATTTCCAGTAAATTTGTGTGGGAAATTTATTGTCCCATTTTGACACCAGAATAACAAGATTTTTAACCAACATTTCCCAGTTTCTAAAAAGGATAAAAAGATAATTTTTACATAAAAAATCCTTTGATTTTCCTTCTTAATAAGAACACAAAGATTTTTCTGATTAAATTTTGTTTTCATTATATTTTGTGCTATTTTTTTCATCATGCATCCTCTTTTTTAGCAATTTTTTTGATGTACCTAATTTCATTTTATTTTAAATACATTATTTTTCTTAAATAAACATCATATTTTTAATATTTGCTATAAGTTCAGCTTTTTTTAATGCATTGTATATATTAGCAAGAAAATGACCATGTATATGACTCAAACCTCAAATAGTTGACAAAGTCTATTCTATTCTATTCATTCAAATAGTACTTTTTAAAATTCCATTTTTTCTTAATTTATTTTTATACTGCACTTTCTTTAGAGACAGCGTTTTGTCTAGATATCTAAAAAAAAAAAAAAAAAAAAATGATAAACCCTAAATCTTACTTTAGTTGAATTAATTTCCCCCATGACCTTCATTTTCAGAAAAAAACTAGAGAGAGAAAAATAAAAGCCAATGAAAACATTAAGAAACCATAGAAAATCCAATTAGTGAAATACAGATTTTCTACATTTGCCTCTATTTTTATTTATGTCATTATTTTTGGATGTTTCTTTTTTTTTTTTTATCTATCTTCTTACTTCAGCAGCAGTTTCCTTTAACATAAAGATGCCAATAACACTCTTTCTTCAGATTTAGTAGCATATGCCCTTAACTCCTATTTCTTTTCTCTCTACATTCACCCCCCCCAATCTCTATCTCCAATTATACTTGATTGCCTCTTTCAGTTTTGTGAATTTATTTTCATGTCTGAAAAAGAGATGCTAGAAAGGTCAGAAAAATCTTCCTCGCCAGCTCTATGAATAGACACACTCAATTTCATGGTTATCTGTCCGTGATTGCAGGATAAAAACAGTATATTTCAGTCGGTTGTTCTTCAGAACATCTATCATGTAAGTAATGATTGAGATTTATTTACCTCTATAATAGTGAAAGATGCCTTCCAAAATCTAGGCAGAGTATTAAGAAACAGGAAAGTGTCATTAGAAAAAAAGAAAAAAGTACTGGCCTGTTATTTAATATCAGTCTTCCTATATGGTAGTCAATGCTGGACAATCTCCTCTCAGATGAAAAACAAACTCTAAGCAATCGAAACAAAGAAAAGAATGTGTAACTGTTATGTAATATCTGTCCTCCTATATGGCAGTGAATGCTGGACCATAGATGAGGAAGAGACTTCAGGTGATAAAAATATGGTTACACAGAAGGATGCTGAGAATACTATAGACTGAATATGTAAAGAACGATGAAGTTTTAGAGAAAATGGAAACAAAAAGGACACATTCTTCACATCAGAAAGGGCGTCTTGTCTTACTGGAACAGTTACAACTAAGTAATGAATTCAATCCTCACTGGGTGCCCCATACTTTCAACCTTGTACCACATCTAAGCTATGCTTAGAAAATCAACATACTTCACATCAGAAAATAACAGTTGAAATTTCTAGGGCATATAAGGAGGAAAGAAGGCTTGGAAAATTTGATACTCATTGGACATGTTGAAGGCAAAAAGGACAAAGGAAAACAATCAGCTTGCATAAATGACAGGACAGGGTTTAGGAGAGATAATAAAAAGTTTAACAAAGTTTATTAAAAGTTACAAAGGACAGGAAATTGTGAAGAGCTATGATCACCCATGTCCTGAAGGAACATGGCACATAGAAGGAGAAGGAGCTTTTGTAAATAGCATAACAGGGTTTAGGAGAGATAATAAAAAGACAAAATTTATTAAGAGCTACAAAAGAGAGAAAGTTGTGAAGAGCCATGATCACCAACATCCTGAGGGAACAAGGCATATAGATGAAGAATATAATAGAATGTGATGTATAGTTAATTTCTTTTCTTTTTTTATAAGTCATAAAATAATTACTTGGTTCCTTTTAGACATTGTCAAAGATGTCAGGACATGTCCCTGCCTCTATTTCTTACTAAAGTATGTGGAACAGATCTCCTCTTTCATCAAACTTTAGTCAGGTTTCCAGCATGAAGATTGATTGAACTCCTGTCAAGGTTAACTATGGTGGTAACAGCTTCTTGAAGCTACTCCATGAGTAGTTGCATAAAAGTGGATTGTCCAGGCACTCATTCAATCTGTCAATTATTGTGATATGCCTATGAGGGAGGTCGGTGTGGTATAATGGTTATCAAGCTTGTCTCGCTAAAACAATTATGACTGAGTTCCTCACTAGGTGCCCTATACTTTCAGCCTTGTACCACATCTAAGCTACACTTGGAAAAATCACTGTTGTGATGTGCATATGTCAAAATATCTACATATAGAATAGAGTGAAGGGAGACGTGGGTTCAAATCTTAGCCAAAACTCTATGCTGATAAACGTTACATTACTCATGCAGCATATGGGTGCATAGGGAAGAGGTTAGAACATTTCTAACCATGAGACCCAGGTTCAAATCTCACCATGGTCACTTTGTCAGGAAGGTGTCTTCTTGATGTTATTAACCTGGGAAGGCAATACCAACACCAAACCATTTTAGAAAGTGCCCAGAAACCATACCACAGATTAAGCTGAGCCATGTGAATGAAATCGGATTAAATAGAACTGATCAGAAGTGCTAGCACAAAATCACAAGTTTAAGTGTACTGGCCTTGTTCAAACTTCTGATCCTAGTCTCTCCCAGAAATTGCAACTAAGGTCTGCTTAGCATAGTTGCAGTATAAAAACCACAGGTGGTCTCTGTGGGTGTTGAACAAACACATATGCCTGAGCAGGCGTCTGCAACAGGGAATAGCTAGCCAACATAGCAGACAAGTGTGAGTGAAAATGAGTAGCTGGACATTACTCATGCCCCCAGTCTTATAAAAACACTAGCACCATGATCCGGCGTTGCCCGTGCTTGATTCAAAAATCGTACGACTTATACAGCAATTGCTATCACTTGACTTAAAATATTTTTGCCCTTCCTTGCCTTTAAAGGAGTGCCGTTTGCCATGCTGATGCTGCTACATGCCTTACTTCTTGCCTATCTCACACTGCAAATTTTTTCTAAGCTCTATATTAAACATTAAATCTGTTACAAAAAAGAACTAAACAAAATGAACACAAAATGATCAGCTTTAAAAAAAAAAGGACTGCATAATTGAAAAAACCGAGTGAAAAAAAGAATGTTAACAACAAATACTTTTTCACACCAACCTAGTTCTGCGGAATCAGAATCAATGTTGAATTTAAACGAAAATGAGCCAATTGGAGTAAAGTGCCATGCAGATTTAAAATTTTCCCACTTGTGACAAATGCAGCTATCGATTTTTTTGCATGCTAGCATGCTAGTTAACATTCATTTCAGTCAGCTGTTGGCTCTCACACTGGCCAATAGAATCTTCCTGCCTATTCGTGGCAGCCAGCTATTGGCTCTCACTCTGGCCAGTAGAAAATGGCCGCAAACTACATGAAAACTGCCGTAGAAGCATGAAAAAATCGATTATTTCTACTATCAATGGGAATTGGGAAATACAAAGTCAGTCTTAGCCTTCCTGCTAACTTGGAGCATGTGCATGTAAATAATTGTGGCTGTGCATTCGTCACACACACACACACACATCCTGCCTTTTATAGATAGAGATTTAGCATACATTGTATAAGCACTGTAGACTTTCTTGTTGAGTATAGGATGGCAAACGCACCAAGCTGGTGTTGCTGCTGTGATCTATATAGAAATTAGATATAATTAATGTTTAAAATTTGACATTTGTAAATAAAAAGAAGGTGCAGATAACTCTTTAAAAATTCAGGGTTTGATTTTATACTGTATTTATATTATAAAGCAGACCTAAATGTGGCTTGAAAAAGGTATAATGAATGCTAATCTACAAAAATTATACCACCCCAAAAACTGTTCCCTATTTTTTTATGAGCATACAAGTCAATTTAAGTAGTGCTCAAATTTATAGTAATTTTTGGCAAGGCTTGGTCTAGAAGGATACAGAATTCAGAATGCAATATTGGATTTAGTGATTTGTCATGAAAAGCAGGGATTGCATTTGTTTGGAATCTGATGTTTTCCGTGTTCTTCAAAAAGTAAAGGCGCTTAAAAAAAGCATAAGGCATGTGTTTCTGTTGAAGGTCAAAAAAAAAAAATAAAAGATGGATTGACAACAAATATTATTTCAATCCTTACTTTTTTTTTTGGTTTTTAAAAACTTTCTTGATGCAAAACCATCCAAATGTTCCTTTCTGGATATAAAATATTTTCTGCTCTCAATGCACTTCTAACTTAATCAATCTGATTTAGACTTGGATCAGTTTCTCTATCCATGTTCAATATTTGGAAAATATTGTTTCATCAAGAGGGGTTTCTAATCTTTTTTCAACATGCTGGGTGAATACAGAGCATTCCGAAACAATTTGTGGTGTTTCTGATACATATTCAGAGATTCTTGATAAAACACAAAAGAAAATCTGCAAAGTTATTCATCCTGACTTGGCATCTCGGCTTCAGTCACTTAACTACCACCATAATGTAACTTCCCAGTGCATTTTCTATAAATACTTTCATGGTAACAGTTCTGATGAGCTTTCCTTTATGGTATCTAGATTTTATGAGTTTAAACACTCTGCTAGATGTGTGCGGTGTGGTGTGTGTAATGGATAACTGCTTGAAATGAGAAATCAGAGAGTTGCGTTCAAATTACAGTCAGGTTCATTACATTCCCTTGGGTGCAAGTTCCCTAGGGAAATGTATGAATCTATCTATTTTCCCTCCTTTAGCCTTGGTTGACAGCCAGTCTACTGTTGCAGAAATAAACAGAAGACGATTATAATAAAATCTTCTGCCTTGTCAGTTATGAATTAAAAGAGACATGATTATCCCAACTGTGTATCATATGCTACTGACTGACTAGATTGGCAGTTAGGTCTCATCATTTTACATTGAATTGGCTAGATGTAACCATAAGTTTTATGTTATTTCTTCTCTCACACTTCTCGCTTGTGGGACTCTCTTCCAGATTTCCAGTCAACTTTGATCTTCAAAAATGTAAATGCAATGTCATTGTTATCTTTTATTTCCATAATTCCTGTTCTTTTATTGTTCTCTCTCTCCATAATAGTGTTTTTTTTCCCCTCATTTTCTCTCACACTCAGTAGCCCTTGTACCGTAGTGAATTTATTGACTTGCTTGGGGTGAAATGATTAAAAAAAGTTACTGTATTTTTTCGGAATATAAGATGCACTCTTATTTTGAATAAAAAGTTTTACAAAAGAAATAGCTGCAACCAAAATTGAAAAATTTTTATTGAACCAAAAGGTATGAATTTAATTTTATTCCCTACAGCTCTGGGTTAAATAGTAACACAAACTGGACTCTCATGCCTTGATTGGCAACCAGTCTATGAGGACAACTTTGAATTTAGAATTGTTAATATCTTTAGGGGAAGGTATAAATCCATTTTTACTCTCTCTACCTATGGGTTAAATAGTAACACAAAATGGGCTATATTGCCTTGAATGGCAACCAGTCTTGGAGAAGAAGAACTTTGAATTCAAAATTGTTAATATCTCTAGGGAAAGGTATGAATCCATTTTACTCCCTCCAGCTATGGGTTAAATAGTAACACAAACTCCAGCTAGGGTAAATAGTAACGCAAACTGTGCTCTTTTGCCTTGAGTGGCAACCAGTCTAGTAGATGAAATATCCAGATCTAAGAAGAAAGGCATTTGGAAATCACTCCATTTTCTTTCCCAATATGTCATGGCAATTCACAGATAATAATAATAAAAGGAATCTCTAGAAAACCATGATCGCCTACATCCTAAAAGGATATGGCATTTAAAAATATGAAAAATTTAGAAGCATTAATAAAAAATATTTCTTGTTGAAGAGGATTGTGAATAAACTGTTAGAAGAATGAGACAAAAATAAATGTTTAAGACTTGGAACTGAAAATATCTTTGAAATGTGATTTCTAATTACTTTTATTAAGAACCCCCAGGGAATTGTGGGATAACTGATTCCCACAGAGGTATTATGTAATTGAAAAATCCCATTTATATAAAGAGACTTGCATCTAAACATAAATACATTCCGGAACAAAAGTCTTATGAAGCTTGATAAAAATCAAAATTGAAAGTATAAATAAAAGAAATAAAATGTTATACAAAATTTAAGAAAAAAATATTATAAAAATGGTGTAGGCTGATTTCCAGCAAGTTTTACCCATCTTTTGAAATAATAGATAACATAGTGTACAAACAAGTCTATAAAGGTTAAGGTAATCATGTGTACCCCAACTTCCAAGCAGAAACTCTCTTTTGCTTAGTCTCTTTCTTGTCACTCAGTATCTCTCTCTCTCGATTGGTCTCTTCTTTCAATCACTGTCATGATTGTTCTCTTGCAATCTCTTGTTTCTTTTGTCAGTTTTGTTCTCTCAGTCTCTCTCTCTTGTTTATTCAGTTGCTGTCTCTCTTTCATTTGTTTTCTCGTTGTCTCATTCTGTTCGCTTGCTCTCCTGCTTGAGTTCTCGCTTTCTCTCTCTCTCACTCGTTCTCACACTGTCTCTCTTTTGTTGTCTTGCTTTCATTTGTTCTCTCACTGTCTCTCTTTCATTTCTTCTTTCACAGTCTCTTTTTCATTGTCTCTCTTTCATTTCTTCTTTCACTGTCTTTTTTCATTGTCTCTCTTTCATTTCTTCTTTCACTGTCTCTTTTTCATTGTCTCTCTTTCATTTCTTCTTTCACAGTTTCTTTTTCATTGTCTCTCTTTCATTTCTTCTTTCACAGTCTCTTTTTCATTGTATCTCTTTCATTTCTTCTTTCACTGTCTCTTTTTCATTGTCTCTCTTTCATTTCTTCTTTCACAGTCTCTTTTTCATTGTCTCTCTTTCATTTCTTCTTTCACAGTCTCTTTTTTCATTGTCTCTCTTTCATTTCTTCTTTCACTGTCTCTTTTTCATTGTCTCTCTTTCATTTCTTCTTTCACAGTCTCTTTTTCATTGTCTCTCTTTCATTTCTTCTTTCACAGTCTCTTTTTCATTGTCTCTCTTTCATTTCTTCTTTCACAGTCTCTTTTTCATTGTCTCTCTTTCATTTCTTCTTTCACAGTCTCTTTTTCATTGTCTCTCTTTCATTTCTTCTTTCACAGTCTCTTTTTCATTGTCTCTCTTTCATTTCTTCTCTCGCAGTCTCTTTTTTGTTTGTTTCTTTGCTGTCTCTCTCTTACTTGTTCTCTCGTTGTCTCTTTGTTCCCTCACTGCCTCATTCTCTCACTGTCTCTCTCTTGTTTGTCCCTTCGCTGTCTCATTCTCTGTCTTGCTCTCTATCTCTCACTTGTTCTCTCACTCTCTTATTTATTTTCTCACTGTCTCTCTCTTGCTTGTTCTCTTGCTGTCTCATTCTTTGTCTCACTCTCACTTTTTCTCTTGCTGTCTCTCTCTCACTTGTTCCATCTGTCTCTCACACTATCTGTTCTTCTCTCTCTCTTGTTCTCTCATTATATTGCTCTTTCAATGTCTGCTCCTTTTTCTCTCTCTTTTCTTTCTTTCCCACTTGCTCTCACACCCTTTCCTCTCTTTATCCTTTCCTGCTCATTCTCTCCTTCCCCCTCTTTTCTTTCTTCCTCTCATGCATCCTCTCTCCTTTCTGTCTCCTCCACTCCTATCTCTTTCTCCTATTCCCTCTCTCCTTTCTCTCTGTCAATCTTCTTTATGTCAACAACCTTGTGATTTCATTGATTATTTATGGTTTATTAATTCCAATATTGATTAAAATAAACTCCAATTCAGTTTCCTATATATTCTGAAATCCTCATTAAATAACAACTAATATTCTTTATTTTCAAATTGCATTTTCTGTTCTTTGCTGAAAAAGATTCTTTTTTTTTTGTTCTTCATTCTTCTTTTTTTTCTGTACCGTTTATCTTGAGCTGATTTAATTGTTTTTGCAAAACAGTTATCCTCTCTGCTTTATTCACATTAATTCAAAGAGAATTTCTATGCTATTTTGATGATTTTAAAATGAAATAAAATAAGAGAAAAACCTATCATTAATTATTATTCTGATTAAGATATTTAATAATTTTATGAAGATCTGACACATATGATTGGCAACCCAAGAGTTTTGATAATTTGAACATGGAAAAACATACTTACCCTCAGTTTCCGTGGATGTTTTCAAGTACTCTTCTTGAACATGTAAGCAATGGTTTTTCAAAAAGTCATAATTACAACTCCCTTAATGCATTACGGTTTTAGAGGCACCACATGTACTGCAGCAGTGGCAGCAGTTGGTGTGTCTTGGGCAAGATAGCCTGATTGATGCTCAGATGAATGGTAGATTTGTAAATGTGCTAGATGGATTCTGGTTAGAAAATCTGTCTAGCACAACACAGTGAACCAACTTTCCTATACTTATCTAGGTTAGTGACTGTAGTAGATCCCCAATTTCATTTTTATCTTTACTCTCTCTTTTTTTTATCATGCTGTGATTAAGCCCCCCTCCACCTTTTTTTTTTTTTTTTGTATTTTGTATCCTTCTCAGCATATTTTTATTCCATTTTGACTGACACTATTATAATTTTGAAATGGAAATAGTTTATCATTATTTACACTATTTAAATCTGGACTATTATCCTCATCTTTGTTACTGTTATCAGAACATTTTGGCCATTATGCCCTCCAACCTTCCTCATGTGTATATTGATTTGGGTAACCTACAGGGAATTCCAAACAGAACACTTTATTTAATCTACAGGAGTAGACTGTTCTCGGTCCACTGCTCATGTATTTTATTTTTTTCAGTGGAAAAAAGGTGAGCAATAACTGAGTCATGCTAAAGATAAGAACTAGCCAAGATATGATGTGGCCATTAGCCTTGGAGCAACGTATATTATAAACCCTTTAATGAGTGGTATATATCATATAGGAGGCATAGTGGAATAATAGCGACCTGGATTGAGTAATCAGAGAGATGAGTTTGAATTCCATTCAAATCCATTACATTCACTTATGTGCTTGAGAAAGGTATGAATCCTCTTCTTCTTGCCCCAGCTATGGGTAAATAGCAGGACAAATTGGGTTCTATAGCCTTGGATGGCAACTGGTATACCGCAGAAAGAAATGACAACTTACTGCAGTAAAAAAAATCTGCCTTGTCAGTCATGTATCGAAAGATATATGATTGCCTAAGCGTGTATCACACATGGCACATAATTGACTGATATATATGGTGAAAAGTGTATCAACTCTATAATGCCTATTCTGTCATATATGAGTACGTCGGAAGAGATGTTTAATCACAGGGTGTTAAAAATATAGTCATTTGGTTACTCTATATATCTTTTGTGTCATGCCTTTAATTATTAGATAATGAAGATTAATAATATTCATAACTGTAGAATTTTTCTTAAAGTTTCTAACTAAAAATATTTATCAACTTTAATTTTAACTTGTACTTTTTCAGTAGTTTTTTATAGGATTATGCACAAAGTATAGATACATGCTATATTTGTTGTTATTTCTATTTTTAGACAGTCAGTGTTAACTGATTAATTGATTACACATGGTATTATATAAATCACTTTTTGCTCAGTATCTTTTCATGTTAAAAGGTCTATGTTTTAATATAACACTGACTCAAAATAGAAAAACCTCTCAAAAGAAAAAGATTAGTAACAATGACAAAGGCTTTGCCATTATTGCCGTCTATCTTGAGACCAAATTGAAGTAAGACAATCACTTAGTAGATAGAGTTATGTGTACCTTGCAAGAAAGGCTTGCACAAATAAGACTTCAGTCTGAGAAACATAATCATAAGGAAACTGATTAATCAAGTAGTTTATTGGCCTCTATTTTAGTTGTGAATTCTGGATCTCTGGTTTATTGAATCTCAATAAAGTGTTTCAAAACTTTTGTCTCATTGCATTTCAATATTAAAACTTTCTATCATTTTAGGATGTGCATTGTGGTGTAATGGATATTGGCTCAGGGAGCTGAGTTTGAATTCCAATCGAGTTCATTGGATTCACTTATGCACAAATACCCTTGGGAAAAGTATGAATACATCTCTTCATTCGCTAAGATATGGGTTGAATAGCAGGACAGACTGGGTTCTTTCACCTTGGTTGGCAACCAGTCTACCGCAGAAAGAAATAGTAACCTACTAAAAGAAAAAAATCTGCCTCGTCAGTAATGTATCAAAAGATACATGATTGGGTAATCATGTATCATGTACAGCACTTAACTGACTGAATAGTTTCGGTCAATTTCTATGGCATTGGCACACTATTATTGATACAAGATTTTAATTTATATTAAATGGGGGGGCTCTTTATTATTATTAAGTAATAAAATGATCTTGCTGAAAATGCTGTATATTAATATTTGAAACCAGAGGTTCCCAAACTTTTTTTTTTCTCTAGGCCGTATTTTCAGAATTAAAATTTGTTTGCACTTCAAATTTTATTTCATAAAAAGTACATTTAAAAATAAAAAAAATAGAGAGAAGATTGAAGGGAGATAACTGTGGATTCAAAGTCAGAACATTATCATTGATAACTCTCTCCTTCAATTTGCAGACCCTAGTTACTATATTCTTAATAATTGATATAATGCAAAAATATGACACTGATAAAATCAGCCAATAATTATTTATAACTATTTATACTGGGATTCACGCATGCAATTACAAATAATCATACCATTTCACCTGCTATCTTCCACTGCACCTATGAGATGCACTGTACCATTTGAGAACCACTGATTTAAAGAGTCATACATGAAATCTTTTTACTAATAGTATGGACTCATTTGATCACTGAAGTTAAGTAACATTGAGACTAGTTAGTACCTAGATGGGTGATTGCTTGGGAATACCAGTTGCTGTAAGCTTGGATCTGTAGGTAGTTTAATTGATAATGGTTTGGGAAGAGAAATTGGAGAGTTGAGTTCTAATTACAGTCAGATTTGTTATATTCACTTGCATGCAAATACCCTTGGGTGATCATGAATCGAAGAGAAATATGATCACCCAAATGTGTTACATCTGCTCATATCAACATGTCAGAGGTAGAGTAATGAACCATTTCTCCCCATGAATCTAGGGAAGGCTGAGAAAAAAGCAAGTAGTTAATAGAGTTTATTACTCGACTTGAGCTCAATTTATACACACATGCCTCCTTATATTTCCATTTTCATGAATGAATTGTTCAGAATAAAACATCATTAATTATGCCAAGGAACCAAAGTTGAGCTCTTGCTGTTTGTTTTGCTTTCCCACCAAATAATTAGGATACACTTTTTGAAATTAAATGGCAGAAACACTTCCTGGAACTCTTTTGGGATTCTGTGCTATGTGTATTAAGACCAACACACACACGTGCATTAAGTTAAGACATAAATTCATGCGTGCACACACACATACTAATTTCAGATATAAATGCATGCAGATACACTACACACATGCACTAGACTTATATACAAATGCTATTGGGAAAGGTATGAATCCATCTCTTCTCTCTCTAGCTATAGGTGAAATAGTAGGACATGTATCTGTAAAAAAATCATTGCTGTCTTTAAAAAATTGTTAATATCCAGTCACAAAAAAAGAATTATTCTTACAATTCATAAAATATGTTCCAGCTTTAAATAATCCACAAAAGTTGATAAGCCATAAGAAACAAATTAAGCAATCAATCTCTCTCTCTCTCTCTCTCACACACACACACACACACACACACACACTAATCTTAGCTGCAAAGAGAAAGTACATTGTATGTATTATTTACCAGCCTTGACAGAGTTCAAAAGCATTCCTGTTTTTTAAACTATGTAAATATATGTCTACCAGCCTGTGCATTCAAGAGTCTTAAGGTTTATGGCCATATCACATAAAAACACTGGTTCTCATACAATCACTGAAGTTAAGATATATTGAGCTTTGTCAGTACCTAGATGGGTGACCACTTGGGAATATGAAGTACTGCAAACTTGAATATGCAAGTGGTGTAATAGATAAAAGCTTGGCATTGGAAATTGGAGTTCCAATTCCAGTGGGGTTTGTTATATTCACTTAGGCACAAAAACACCATCGGGGAAGGTATAGACCCACCTCTTCAACTCCCCAGCTATGGGTTAATTAGTAGGACTTGTTTCAATAAATCATTATTATCTCTACAAATTCTTACAATCCCCAAATAGTTTCTAGCCTTAAATGACCTGCAAAATGTTGATAAGTCATAAAAAACAAATCAGTCAAGAGTCTTAAAACACACTTCCCGCTCATTTTTCTTTATTAAAACTCTTGAATACACAAGCTGGTAGATATAAATTTACACTCTTTAACCTTTAGCATACTGGAGGTGAAAATTGTTGCTGTAGAATTCTCTCCCTTCGTATGCTGTAGGCATATTCTGTCACCTCGAGAGGTTGCTATAAATAAACACTTGTCAACTGTTATTTCCGGAAATAACAGTTGACAACCCTCTCAAGGTGACAGAATATACCTACAGCATGCAAAGGGAGAGAATTCTACAGTGACAATTTTCACCTCCAGCATGCTAAAGGTTAAAAAAGAGGAATGTCTATTGAAACATGTATATCCACTAAAATATAACATTTGAAGTAATAGGAAATAAGGTTGAATTATAAATAAAATCCATTAATTCTTTAAAAATTACTTTGTTTACATTTCAGCTACAAAAATAAAACTTTAGCAAATATGGGATCTGAAAAAGAGATGTGCATTTTTTAAATAGAGTAATTTAACTTTGCTTGAGTGTGACAGTCTTTCATGTCGGAGTAATCTAAAAGCATGCTGGACTAGACAGTGATTTCCCCAACATGGCGAAAGCTTGTGTTATACTCTGCTTCAAACTAGATCTCATTCTGATTCACTCTAAATCAAAACCTATCAGCTGGATGTTAGTGCTAGAAAGCATAAATAAAAATTTAAAAAAAAAAGTCACTCTGTTCAGGTGCTTCAAGCATCACATCCAGTTCACAAACACAAATCCCCTCAAAAATATATAAAATATATACAAAATAAAAGGAACCAATTATGAAAATTGCTGCTAAAGTACAAGGCATGACAAAAAAACACAAGTCATTATCCATCCTGTCTGTTTTTAAGAATGCTACTCATGGCACTATCAGCATAGTTACAAGCAAGCAGGCATGCCATCAACATCACCACTAGTGACTTTTGTCAAATGAACTGACACAAGCATCAACACCAGACCCTACCAGCTCTCCCTTTCCTCCAAGTCATTTCCCTCCACCACAAAGAAATATTCAGCCTTAATCCTCTATATCTGCAATGCAAAAAATTTTATTTTAACAATTCTTTTCTTTTTCTTTTTACCTCACCAGTAGTACTTGTTTTGTTTGTTCACTCGTGCTACCAGATACCCATTTCTAACATAAGGTACATTCTCTTTATTAAGACTCTCAAATGCACAGGCTGGCAGACACATGTTTGTCTACTCAAACATTTGTATCCACTACATATAATGTTTTAAATAATAAGAAATGTAGATGATTGTAGAAATATTTTGAGGCGATAAATAATTTTGAACTGGTCTTTATTTATTAGATATTTTTCTTGGCCATTTGCATAGCCTATGTTCTGCTTTATACCTTTATATTTTAGCAGGCAACCAATTGGGCATTATGGCTGATAATGTTAACTTTTGATATGATACAGAGAGGAAGTAGGTGGAAATGAATCAACCAACAATTGAGATATCTACTTCTCTCTTACCCCTAAATACACTAAATTTTTATCACCATCATTACAGCTATCCTCATCATCACCACCATCACCCACAGCAACAACAACAACAACATTTTTCTCTTTTCTCTCTCTCTCTCTTTCCTGACCCAGCACTCCATCCTCATTATACAGACTTTAATCAAAAATACACTTCGACTACCCAACTCCACCCTTGACTGTTCGGGCTAGAGGCAATCAAAATAGAAAACCCTATTCACGCAAATGTAACTTTATCCTAAAAAAGGAAAAATGAAACAGGTCTTATTTTGGGGTGAGGAGATTTTCTTTTTTTTTCTTTTTTTTTTTAAAAAAAAAAGAAATTTTCTCCTTCCAGACTATCAAATAAGTGCAACCCTTACACAATCTGAGAGTTTTAATAACCTTCCCTGTTTTGATCAGTTTATTAGATTTTATTTACTTGTTTATTTTGTTATTTTTACTTATCTTGGTTTTCTTTGTGTCCTGCACAAAAATGGAGGTTACACAGTACTGCTCAATACTCATTTACATAAAAATTGTATAACAACATTAATATTGCATTTTTCATGAATATTTTGTCAATTTCAATAAAAAAAAATATGACAGTAAATTATAAATATTGTTCCATGAAACAATAGCCTAGTGGATTAAAGCTGTGGATTTGGTGACAGTAATTGTGAGTTCAATCCCTGTGCTGTTCTCTGTGTTTTTTTTTATATTTATTTATTTATTGATTCATTTTTTATAGCTTATCAACACTTTGCAGGTTATTTAAAACCAGAAAATATTTTTAGATTGTAAGAATTTAAAAAAATAATAATAATGATTTAGTGATAATTGTTTTACTGATTAACCCATAGCTAGGGGTAGAAGAGTTCAATTCATACCTTCCCCAGGGGTATTTGAAATTAAATGAAATTAACACACCCAATGGAAATTGGAGCTATAACAAAATCTTGTAACTATAAAAATTAAAATGAGACCACTAAGTTTTTTTATTATTGATACGGATCCATTCTGAGATTAATAAAATAATATATTGAGAAAAAGTTTAAAATGATTTAACCTATGGGCAATAGCCTAAGGGATTAAAGTGTTGGTTTGAGGATTTCACAATTATGAGTTCAATCACTGGGTTCAGTGAAAATGAGCAAGCAATGACTGAGCCAGGTAATCTACAGGGAATTCTGAACTGAAATATTTAATCTATAGGGTTAAATTTTTCTCTAGTGAAGAATAATTGGATACTTTTATTAATTTATGTAATTTTTTTTTCTTTAATTAAAAATATCTGTTTTCATGCTCAAAATAGCTAAGTCTAATAATTCTGTAAAAGTCAGGGACTGATTTGACACTGTATAATCTTATAAACAGGTCCCTCCTTTTCAATCAATAAAAATTCAGTATTTTTTTTATTCTGAAAAGTGTTGCAGCCTAAGGAAGGTCCTAAGTATACTAATCTACAGAAATTATTTCTCCCCAAATGTTTCCCAATTTTTATTAGTGGGTCAATCTATTTAACTTGTGCCACAAATTGATTTCCTTCTTTTTTTTTTTTTATTTTGAGGAAACCTAGTTTGTATTTGACTGTGTTAGATTTTTGCCTAGATCACCATCATCGGGTCATCTCTCAATTTAGGTCACTCGCATCATGGAGATTATCATGCAAATGAGACAAACAATCATGTAACACTTCGAGAACACATTTACAAAAATGCCAGCCTCCAGTGACAGGAAATATTTGTTAAATAGTAAAAGGTGACACAGAGATGGCAGGCTTTGCTTCCACTGTTCCAGACATCTTTCTCTGGTTCAGCCAACCCTGTTCTTTGTTGAAGAGCTGTTCTCTGAAAGAAATAACTCAAAAAAAAAAAATAAAATAAATCGTTTGCCTCAAAATTAATTTAACTTTCACTATATAAATTCCTGGCCTACATTCATTTTAATCACAAGAATTTCTTTTTTTTTATTAATTTGTATTTTATACAGTTTTAAATCATTATTAGAAAACTGTATAAAATAGGCCAATTTGTTGTGTCTGCTAAACTATTCATTCAGGTCATATGTACTTTACTGTTGTTTACATAAACTGGTTATATTCATGAAATTTTTTTTTATTGTTATCATTTATTTTATTATTTGGTTATTTGACACTTAGTGATTCACAGAGCTCCTTTTTTTTAAAATCATACTAGCTAAAATCATACACATGAAAAAAAGACTTATTATTTACATATGAATCAACAATTCTGCTTGCAACCCTAGTATCTATGCTGTTCTGACTTGAATGAAGGTACCATTCAGTGAGCCTTGACCAAGGATCAAAGACACGAGGTAACTGTTTAGGATCTGGGTGTAGACTTCAATGTCCACTTTTATATTTACATATGCTCTATCCCTGATATTGAGCACTTTAACACATAAATAGAGCATACCTTAAAACTATATTTTATCATTCATATATATATATATATATATATATATATAAATTAGACCAAGAAACAGTAGTATTAAAAAGTGGTCAATACACATATAAAAGATAAAAATTTAACATGTAGAGCTTTTAGGTAGAGAAAATTAGTAGATTAACAGATTTCACTTGCTTGGTTCCAACCATTCGGTATCTTCAGGCGATTTTGGTTAATTGATTTCCTCTCTCTCTCTCTCTCTCTATATATATATATATATATATATACACTATTATTATTTCAGTGAGTTGATTTCATATATATATATATATATATACATATATATATATATACAGTGAGTTGATTTCTATTATTATTTCATTATTATTATTTCCAAAGTTGATTTCATATATATATATATATATATACATTATTATTATTTCAGTGAGTTGATTTCATATATATATATATATATATATATATATACTATTATTATTTCAGTGAGTTGATTTCATATATATGTATATATACACTATTATTATTTCAGTGAGTTGATTTCATATATATATATATATATATATATATATATATATATATATATATATATATATATATATATATATATATATATTTCATTATTTCAGTTGATTTCATATATATATATATATATACACTATTATTATTTCAGTGAGTTGATTTCATATATATATATGTATATATACACTATTATTATTTCAGTGAGTTGATTTCATATATATATATATATATATATGTATATATACACTATTATTATTTCAGTGAGTTGATTTCATATATATATATATGTATATATACACTATTATTATTTCAGTGAGTTGATTTCATATATATATATATATGTATATATACACTATTATTATTTCAGTGAGTTGATTTCATATATATATATATATGTATATATACACATTATTATTTTTCAGTGAGTTGATTTTATATATATATATATATATATATATATATATATATATATATATATATTAACTACTAAATAAAAACAACTATGTTGGTGTACTAACAAAGAACTTGCCAGAATACTTAACACCTTTAGACAAGAAAGAATCCTGAACAAGGAAAGAAAAAAGAAAAACTTAGAAGCAAACTTACTCAGTAAAATAAAATGTTATCTTGACTAAGCAAATTATATGTATTTAAATAGCGATAAAAATTAAATTGTAATAAATGATGTTGGATTTAAATATGACTACTATTAATATTGTTCAAGGTGAACTTGTATATTACTGTTGTTATTTTGATATAATACATAGGCAATGCTGGGTTACCCTGCTAGTTTTGTATAATTCTTTACATCAATTGGTTGACTTTGTATCTGCCTTCTCTTTTTTATTATTTGTACCATTCTGTTTTTGTGATTCTCTGATTTTAATATATTGAATGCAACACACGCTTCTTTTGATCTGTTCCCCTTGACTTGTACTTTGCCAAAGTACATTGTTGCTCGGTTACTACGGCTATGACTTGACCATTCGTGATGTACTTTACTATCGCTCGTGCTATTGATTTCTTTATTTCATTCTCACCATCTCCGACACTGCTGTCTTATTGTTTGCCTGTTTTTATTGCGCCTGCATTATCTTTTCTGTATCCTCTATTCTGAGTGTAATTCTCTTGTTTTTAATGTCTCAACTTCTGCCTTACACTTTGATGTCTACATTATTTGAAATAATGTCAGCCTGATGCTGTATTGTTTACTGATGTGGAGGTTGATATGAAACCTTTTCTTCAGTACTGCTCATAGAGACAGTTAATGGATCTTTTTAATCCAACATTATTTCTGTAAGATGGTACATTTTCTTTTGTAAGACTTTCAATATCTAGGCCAATAGGCACACACATATATATATATATATATATATATATATATATATATATATATATATATATATACACAAGTATATAATTGGTGTATACGAGAATGAATTCAATAACCAACACTTATTATTCTTAAAAGAGTGCTCAATACAAAAGTAGAGCAGATATAATTATTTTTATAAAAAAAAAAAATTTATAACATAAATATGTTATAAAATCACTACAAAATAGCCATTCTGTTTCAACACCCTCGGTGTCTTATCAAGTGATGATGTTGAATTTATTTTATCTTCAACTTTTAAAATCATTTATTTTCTTTTCAACATCATCACTTGATAAGACACCAGAATGGTTATTTTTGTAGTGATTTTATAACATATTTATGTTATAAATTTTTTTTTTTTTATAAAAAATAATTATATATATGTTTTTGGTGTCATACCCTCAAATAAATAATATTGCTCTACTCTATATTGAGCCCTCTTTTAAAAATGATATGAAAATCTTGATCTGACTAGGCTATTCAAGTTTTCAGGTTAATGTTTTGGTTTAGCAGCAGTTTGTGGTATTGGGCAAAACTATCTCTAGTGCAGCCTCTTCTATGTTCAGTTTCCTTCTTTATCTCCTGTGCTAAATTTGTTAAATGCTCTTTGGAAAAAATTCAAGATATAATAAAATCTGACAGTCTATTTGTAAATAAGTGTATTGTTATAATCTATTGATTTTAGAAGTGTTTATTCATCAGGTGATTTTTTTTTTCCTGCTAAAAATTTGATGATGTTAGTTATTGCCTTGGTTTACTTGTAAGTCGATTTGATATTTGTACTTGAAATCAGCCAAGCTGGGACATGCCTTCCAACACTGTTTTTTTTTAATTCTGCACTTTAACACTATTTTTAGGCCTTCTGCCAAACAAATTGACACATTCAATTTCAATACAATCAAGAGCCTGAAACTAAACCAGACCCTCTACGATTGAATAAAAGATAAATCAATAATACTCTTTCAGATTCACTCCTATTTTGACTGCAATAATTTTAATACATTATTAAATGTATGTGTCATATGTACATAATATATTCACGTGTATGGGTGTTAAATATAGCGAATACATTACACATATATTTACTTTTTATCACTTTTAAATGTTATTTTAATGGATATTTGTATTTGAGTAGATGCTTAGTTTATTTATTAAGCAATATATTTATTTATTTTCTACCAGCCTGAATGTGCAAGAAATCTTATTAAAGAAAAATTTACACTCTCTGGCAGATTTTTTCTTCAATAAAATTTTTTGAACATTCAGATCGGTAGACGAAAATAAATAAATATTCTGTTTAATAAATAAACGGAGCATCTACTCAAATATGAGTATCGATTAAAAATAATGTTTAAAGGGATAAAAATATATATGTATATATATATCCTCCATCTTATTATCATTATAATGCTCTGTAGTCTACATTGAGTCTCCCTGGATTTATATTCTCCTCGGAATTAGCGCTTTGCGTCACAAACAGTTAAAACATATTATTTTATATATACACATATATATATATATATATATATATATATATATATATATATAAAGGAAATTTTGGCAGCAACTTTTCTTTCAAACATCTTTTGGCCAACATGGAAGATTGAATTAATTTTTTATTGTTTTTCCAGCATTCTAACATTTTTATGTTTTGTAGGAGTTAAGGAATATAAAAATTATGGATAATTTTTATTGTCCCAAGTGCTTTTGGCCTCTTACACACATATATATATATATATATATATAAATACAAATATAGATAACTATACTCGTTTTGAAAAATCCTCGAATTTTTGATTTGACAATAATCAAATCAATCTCGAGGGGAAAAAAACGTTTTAAAAAAAGAAAGAGCTACAAACATGAAAGTCTGTCGAAAAAAAATCGCACAAATACAGGTTTGAAGCCCAAAGAAAAAACCCTGACACGAGTAAACAACTAACTAACAAAAGAGCTCAATACAACCATAGAGCAGACCTAGATAAACCTAGTGAGCCAGACAAACCCTAGATCATCAGGGAAAGTTGGCCAACTTTCCCTGACGATCCATTTAGGTGAAACCTGGGTAGGTTTGTCTGGCTCACTAGGTTTTATCTATCTTTCTATCTATCTATCTATCTATATATATATATATATATATATATATATATTATGTATTTAGGCAGCAATCCTTCATTTATTCATGTTTCATTAAAAACAACAGACAAGGTACTATGATAAAGCTATTTAATTTTTCTTGTGTTTGAACAAGTGTTTTCTTTTTTGGACATAGATAAAGTGGGAAAAGCCAACACTTAATATGAACTACGAACATGGCCACAATGTGCTATGTTCAGAAAATAAAACATCTCTATAATACTAAAAAGATACACACGACACACACATTCAATTAAACTGAAAAAAATCAAATCATCCATGATAATGGCTAAAAGTATAGCCGAAAGCACACAGAATTATAGAACATTTGGACAGTTTCTACACACTTTGTATTCAAAAAAGAAAACGCTTGGTCGAACACAAGAAAAATTAAATAAAAAGTTTAATTGCTTGGATGTGCCAGAAATGTAATGGGCTTATGGCCATATCACATTGAAACACTGGTTCTGGTAAGATCATCAAAGGTAAGCAATGTCGAGCTTGGTCATTATCTAGATGGTGACCACTTGGGAATACCAGGTGCTGGAAGCTTGAATGTGTGGGTGGAATAATGGATAATAGCTTTGAATTGGAAAGTGAAGATCTAAGTTCCACTTCCAGTTGGGTTCATTATATTTATTTGCAAAATAACATTCTTGCCCTCAGCTATGGGTTAATTATGTTAGTAAAATCATTATTATCCCTCACCAAAAAAATTCTATCTAAAAAATATTTTTTGTCTTTCTCGTTTTTTTTTGTTTTTTTTTCTCTACTGCAAACGGTTCTTATGCTGTAAAAATGGACTTGTGACATAAGGTGATGTAACAAATACACCAATTGAGACACAAATTATAACATCAAGAAAAGCATTCAATAAAAGCAAAAAATGTATATTTTTGAAAGGAATTTGTACACATGCTCAACTGAAGAAAACAAAGAATAATCAATGAAACTACCATCGGCCTCAAGAATGTGGCCATGGAATTGCCCAGGTTGTTGTTGTTCATTTTGGCCATTGGCAACCTTCAGCATTTCTCCATATCATGGGTCCAGCAGATGGTCTCTGTCTCTATCTATCTATCTATCTATCTATCTATCTATCTATCTATCTATCTCAATGATACCCCAGATGTAGTAATAAAAAAGAATCAAATCATTAGTGCTTGGAGACTACATGTTAGAGGAGACATGATTGTGAAAATCTTTGGTCAGCCACTCCTGGGTCATGTAGATCATGTGGAGGGAGCAGAATCCTGCTGGATTTCCCTCTGGTTCAATCTCACATTTCAGGGATTGGTCACCATGTCCAGCATTTTGGTATCAACAGTGGCATTGACCTGGCTGTCTTGTTTGAAGAAGTGGAAAAGTGCTTGACCTGACTCATTTTCCAAAATCTGAATGAATGTTTTTTTTTTTTTTTTTGTTTTTGCAAAGCTTCTTGGTTGGACAGAGAACTTTTCAGTACTTCTCATATTGGGCACCTTGAGATGGTGTAATGGTTAGCAAGCTTGTCTCACTAGAACAATTATGACTGAGTAGTGAGTTCAATCCTCACTGGGTGCCCCTTACTTTCAGCCTTGTGCCACATCTAAGCTACGCTTGGAAAATCGCTATGTGTGTGTATGTATACACAGACATGTTTAAAAGATGAGTGAGTGAGTGTGTGTGGGTGTGTATATTGGATTAGACGTGGCCATAGATAACTCACTCTGATAGAATTACCTGAAGATTTTTTTTTTATCTTCGTGGTAAGGTTGAGAACTTTTCAATAAGCACACACACACACACATATGTGTGTGTGTGTATGAAAATTACATAAAATTTCATTTTTGTTAAAGTCTTCTTGGTAAAACCAAGAACTTTTCAGGAAGCATACTAGCAGCATGGCCCGGCGTTGCCTGTGCTTGATTTAAAAATTGTACAACTTATACAGCAATCGCTATCACTTGACTTAAAATATTTTTGCCCTTCCTTGCATTTAAAGGAGTGCCCTTTGCTGTGCTGATGTTGCTACATGCCTTACTTCTTGCCTATCTCACACTGCAAATTTTTTCTAAGCTCTATACTAAACATTAAATCTGTTACGAAAAAAAGAACGAAACAAAATGAACACAAAACAATCAGCTTTAAAAAAGGACTCAGAACTGGAAAACCAAATGAAAAAAGAATGTTAACAACAAATACTTTTTCACACCCAACCCAGTTCTGCGGAATCAGAATCAACGTTGAGTTTAAACAAGCAAATGAGCCAATTGTAAAGTGCCATGCAGATTTAAATTTTTCCCACTTGTGACAAATGCAGCTATCGATTTTTTTTTTGCATGCTAGGATGCTAGTTAACATTTGTGTCAGTCAGCTGTTGGCTCTCACACTGGCCAATAGAATCTTCCTGCCTATTCGTGGCAGCCAGCTATTGGCTCTCACTCTGGCCAATCGAAAATGGCTGCAAACTACATGAAAACTGCCATAGAAGCATGAAAAAATCGATTATTTCCACTATGAATGGAAGTTGGGAAATGCAACGTTGGTCTTAGCCTTCCTGCTAACTTGGAGCATGTGCATGTAAATTTTGGTGCAAATCTGTCAAAAATTGCAGCCATGCATTCGTTACACACACACACACACACACACACACACATCCTGCTTTTTATATATATATATATATATATATATATGTGTGTGTGTGTAAATATGTTTATTGGATTAAATTCAGCTATAGACACACTGACTCTGACACAGGAATTACATGAAGTTTCTTTTCTTTTTAAAGTCTTCTTAGTAAGGCTGAGAACCTTTCAGGAAATATATATATATATGCGTGTGTGTGTGTGTGTGTAAATATGTTTATTGGATTAGACTCAGCCATAGACACACTGACTCTGACATAGGAATTTGATAAATTTTCAGAAAATTATTGGCTGCACTGATTTCAACTCCAGGCATTTTTGTATTTGATTTTCCATTGTATTTGCTTGGAAATAAAAAAAGTAGAAATTTAAATTCTTATTTTACATTGCTATTTACATAAATGAATTGGATGGCTTCCTCCTGCAGAAATATTCAATGATATCCAAAATTATTTTTCAGTATTAGTTGTATGTTTATTTTTTCTTTTTACATTATATTTTGGCAAACCTTTTAAAAATATTTGATTGTATTTTGTTCATAGGAGAGTTTGAAAACGATTTTCTCTATTGTAAATAAACTGTCATTTTAAAATTTTCAACTTATTCAAAAAAATTTTAATTATGATGGATAATTTTTAGAAAATAATGACCGAACAAGAAGGTGCTTTGTTAAAAAGAGTCAGCAGTTAATGTCATTAATATGCTTTATGTTAATTATATTCTCTTAAATCCCATTTTTGGCAGCTTCTCTTCAATATTGGCTCATTTCCTATTTAGAGAATTTATTTTACAACTGTTTACAAATAATTTTCATCACAAGTCTTAATTATTAATAACTAGCAGTAACCGTAAAGATTTGATGGTTTTCCTATTAGAATTTTCTAATGAATCCTAATTCTTAAGTTAATGACTAAATAAGCTTCTTGTGAGTTCTCTGACTATAAAATACCTGTGGAAATTCACCTATTGCATCATCAAATATTTGAGATTAACACCTTTAACTAAATATTGCTTTTACATTCATAATTATGAATGCAGATCATTATTAAAAGAAGTAGGAGGGTACAAATGAAAAGATTTGAAATTGATAAGGTTGTCCATTTCATTGAAACAAATGTTAAACACATAATGTTATCAAATTATGAAATGGACAAAGTCCAACAATTATTTTTTAAGACATTTTTATGTTTAACATTCTTTTTATAGATACAAACATTTAAGTAAATGCTCTGTTTATAATAAACAGTATTAAATAACATTTACCGGCCTGAATGTCCAAGAAATTTTCATAGAAAATAAAAATGTTTTAAAAAAATAATTGTCAGACTTCGTCCATTTCATGTGTGACGTCATTTGTTTACATTTGATACACCATGAGCAGACATGAATGTACGTGAGAGATTCATGGATGATTGAAGTTTAAAAGCAGTAAATTCGACCTTGCTAACCGATTGATCCTCTGTGGCAAAATCGGTAAAAGCACGTCAGGCTAAATGATGGTTCCATATAGGATACAGGTTTGCATCCTGTCAGAGGACGAATATTTTCTATGAAAATTTCTTGGACATTCAGGCCAGTAAATGTTATTTAATACTGTTTATTATAAACAGAGCATTTACTTAAATATTTGTATCTATAAAAACAATGTTAAACATAAACATGATGTTCTCTCTTTCTTTCTTTGCTCTGAAACCAAACAGTGTCTCTGTCTTTGTTGACTATAACAGAATAGTCCATTATTTATTGGGTATTGGCAAGGTATAATGTACATGCTATGACTGAAGGTTAAAGTTTTATCACTGGTATGCCAGTATGGCTGATGGAACAAAGTGCAGACAACTCAAGATTCTTCCCTATTTATTTCCTGAAGAAAATTCAGACAAACAAGTTGTTTGCCTTTGTAACGAGAGGAAATCTAGGGAAGAAGGATTTATTCCCCCATTTAAGATTCTTTCGTTATGGGCATTACTATATCCCTGATATAACAACACTGTAGGTCACGGACCGAATGGAATGGATGAAAGGAAAAACAATGACAAACATCCTTTGTTCTCAAAGAGATTTTTATATTACTTAGACATACACAAAACTCTCTCTCTCCCCCCCTCTCTCTCTCTCTCTCTATATATATATATATATATATATATATATATACATACACACACACACATGTCCCACATGGAGAACTATATATCACATATATCTATATATCAAAGTAAAGTATAAAGCAGGAACAAAGAGGAAAGGTCTTACATATAATTTGGAGATACTCCTGACCTGGTGAAGCCATTTTTAGGACCCCTGATTAAAACAGGCTGGATTCATCTATGTTTGAAAGAGAGATAATCACTTTCTGTATCCTTGCAACTTGAAAAGATTTTTTTTTTTGTCAGTTATTAAAAATTATGCAGAGATTCAATTAGATTTGAAACTGTTTTATTCTTCAAATTCTTTACATCACCATCAGACCCATGACCAGGTGTGGACATATGGTCACTGTGCAGCTAAGCACCTGACCAGCTCCCTCTACATGTCTTGGTTGTGTGTCAATGCCTGAGTCTCTATGAATGACCTCCCAGTCCATTCTATTCCATTGTCAGCCCATTTTTACCTCTGTCTGCTTCTTATTTGGCTTAAAGTGTTATCGTGTAGCATAACAGTGGAAAGATTGTTGGCTCTTATGTAATGTCCTTATGATTTCAACTTTCTCCTCTTGACGGTGATTATAAGGTCTTCTAAAGGTGCTTGTTTCATGTTTGATGGTGTCTTGCATAGCATCATTAGTGATATGGTCTACATAGGAGATGTTTCTGTAACCAGTCCTATAATTATATATCAAACTAATAGTTTGTAACAGAGTGACAAAATAGAAAAAAACTGATATTTCATCTCTTGAAAGGACTTCTTTAGACTAACTTATTGATAGAGCCATATATATATATATATATATATATAGAGAGAGAGAGAGAGAAAGAGTGTAACAGCAAAATTGTCTGTCAGATTAAGTTTTGAACTTTTGTATCTTAGAAATGATTACAGATATCTTACTGAAAATTTCCAAGGTTTTTATAAAACTATTGGACTCTACTTTGAACACTAAGAATGTATTTAGCTGTAAGTTGAAATGATGATCCCTCTTCCTGTTGTGACATCCTGATCCTGTTGTCCTCTCTACTGTTTCCTCTTTTTAAAACTTCTCCATTTTCTAAATGGTTCTTGAATGGACTTTGAAGATAGAACCCAGAGCATGAATATTGGTACCATTACTGAAGGTCTGAATGATCTTTTTTTTAGTGGATATTTAGATATTAAACATTTTGTGGGATAGACAATTATCACATGCTGTTACATGATTTGGACAATTTTGCTGTTAAACCCGGTATACAGGAGAGTGAAGAAATATATCAAATATCAGTTACAATTTTATATTGAGAAATGATGAAGATGCTGAGGAGTTAAATATTTTAATTTTTGATGTCTGGTGTCACTAAATGAATCACCTAACTAACTTTATTTGGCTTTCTACCATTTTGTTTGTTTGTTTTTATTGTCATTGTTTTTAAATTTCACACAATGTAACAGTTTTGTTAGGAGAGGAGATGTTATATAATCCTGGACATAAATTTATTATGGAGGATTAAAAAAATTAGTACATTTTTAATGCATGTTCACTTTAACAAATTATATTTACTTAATTGAAACAGCATCTTTTAGATTAAAATTATGGTTAGACCTGTTACAATAAACAACTAATGCCCTGGGTGTATTATTTTGTAAAAGATCCCTTTTGTATTCATATAATCCTAAATTCCTAGAGGTCTCACCTGTATATTTCTTGGGACAGTTTATACTGTAAATTACAGCTCCATGCTTAATGTTTTATTATTTCATTGTATGTTAATTAAATGTTTTATTGTTTTTGAAGTAGTAAAGATTGTTTGTAAAGTTTTATATAAAGTTTAAATATATTTTTTTTATTTGTATTCATTACTGAGTTGGTAGGTAATATCATGTGCCTAGTTTTATCAAGTTTATTTATATTCTTTTCAAATTTTGTGAATTCAATAAGCTTTATGCTTAGCCTTATATATGAAATAATTTAGATATTGGAGAAGTTTAAAAGTATTTCTAATGTATTGAGTTACCTGTAAATACTGAGGGTTACAAATTCTGCATACTCTTATATAGAAATGAGTAATTTTCACTATTTATACTTGAATTATTATCCTCACCATTGTTGTTGCTATCACAACATTTTGATTGTTGTGGTCTCTGGCCTTTATCAGGTGTATATATCAATCCATTAATCAACAGAGAATTTCGAACTGAACCCTGTTCTTGTTCCACTGCCCATGTCTTGAGATATCTAATCTCATTATTTTTAATACTGCTGCCTCATTTCCACTGATTTTAAATACACACTACTTGGCCCAGGGATTGAACTCACAATTACTATGAACAGAACTAAAAATAAGAACTAGAAGAAATATTCCTAAGCATAGGCAATGGAACAAGAACAGTCTATCCCATGTAGATTAAATAAAGGATTCAGTTCAGAATTCCCTGTAGATTATCTGGTCTGATGTACACCTGATGAAGGTTGGAATGTTGTGATAACACAAACAAAGATGAGGACAATAGTTCAAATGCAAATAATGTAAATAATAACTCCTCATTTCAGAAATTTAGAAACTAGTAATTATTCCAGATTTTATTTTGTTGTTATGGTGTGAATAGAAGTTTATGAACTCATTCTTGTCAGTGTATTTTCAAGTGACATTAAATTTTAGAATATTATAAATATAGTTTAATACAATATTGTTGTGTTTATGAATAAAAACCTTAAAAATCTGTGTAAATTAAGATTTTATAAAACAAATTAAACACTATTTAAAACGTATATCAAATTATTAATATGCAATATTTCAGCTTTTAAGCATGTAGAGTTATTATGTTATTAAGAAATTTGATGCTTTTCAAGTAACACACTTTCAAATAAAGTTGAGCATTTTTCTGTTAAATATTCACATGTATTTTTGTGTTTATGACATCTGCACATAAAATAAATGGACAACGTATTCAGTTAGGCTATGCAGCAGCCATTGTCCAAGTAGTCTGCAAGATAATTTGAGTAGCAGCCGAATGTAACAATCTGAGTTGAAGTGGTTAAAAGATCTTCTTGGGTCTGGTCTATTCCCTGTCACATGAAAAATGTCTTCAAATTAAGAAACTGGCTTTAAAAAGAAAAATGAAATAATTTATGTAAAACACCTCAACAGTTTCTGGGATATAAAAATTTTGGATTTATACTTTATCTTCTTTCTTCTCTTCATTTCCATTTTCTTTGTGGACAAGTTGAATATTTTTACAAGGCCTAATTTTCACCCCCCTCAACCTTCCACAAACTCTTTGGCAGTTTTGTTGTTTTAGAATGAGACACACAAACAGCTATTTTTATTAGATATAGAGTTTATAAAAAGTAACAAAAAATATATAAATCTAAATATATATATATATATATATATATATATTTTTTTTTCCTTTTCATTATTCAAACCAACTCAGATTGGTAAACAAATGTCAGTGGAGCTGGTATTATTAATTTTCTTTCGATATTTGAAGTAAAAATTTTTATTAATCTTTTTCTACCATTTTTTTTCCCTTTCACTTGGTCTTATGTTTAAGATGTTTTCATAATATTTCTCATTGAAATAAAAGTACTGAAAAGCAAATCATTCAACGACACCAGTTATAAACAAGAGAAGGAAAATTTCTGAAGCAAACAGTTCAAATCCCAAAGTAAAGAAGCAAGATTAATTTGACATAAACTGCTTCTAAATACAAATTTATTTGGGCTTTTGCTTTCTTCCTTTCTCTCTCTTTCCTCCTTAGTTTTTCATTTCTCTCTGATTTTCTCTTTTTTCTTTCTTTCACTATTTTCAATTTTACAACCTTCTATTCTCATGTCCTTATCTTTTTTTTCTATTGCAACCTTCTTTTCTTATTTCATTATCCTTTTTTCATTCAGCCAAACATATTTCTTTTTTCTTTCAGCTCACTACCATCTTTCTTTTTTTTCATTCAGCCTGTGACCACTTTTCTTTCTTTCTTTCTTTCTTTCTTCATTCTCACTACCACCTTTCTTTTTTTTTCATTCAGCCCATTTCTTTCTTTCTTTCTTTCTGCTCACAACCACCTTTCTTTTTTTCATTCAGCTCATAACTTACTTCTTCCTTTTTTCTTTTTTTCTTTCTTCTCACTACCACCTTTCTTTTTTCATTTAGCTCATAACTTACTTCTTTCTTTTTTCTTTCTTTCTTTTTTCCAACCAACCAACTAACTACCGCCTTTCTTTTTTCATTCAGTCCATTTTTTTCTTTCTTTCTGCTCACAACTACTTTTCTTTCTCAATTCTTAATTCATTTCATTTTTTTTTATTCAGCCCACTACGTAAATTAAATATTCTCTTTTTCACCATCACTTTCCTGAAGGTAACAAAAAACAGTTTTTCAATAGAATTGCACAGAATGATTGGCAATTAAAAAAAAAAAATTATCTTAAAAAATAAAATGACCCATATTGATGTTGATGCACACACATTTTCTCTTGGTATATTTTCTTGTTTATTAGATTTTTCTTTCCTTCTGTCATTGGTTTCCTCTCAAAATTATTCTCTCAATAAATTTATCTAAGATTATATATTTTTCCTTCATCCCAATTCATCTCTCTATTTTCTTCTCCCACTTCAATCTCTCCTTCTCTTCTACACATTTTTATTTGGCCCTCTCTGTCTATCTGCCATATTTGTTTCTTTTCTCCTGATCAACGCAAACTGATGTCCAAAATAATCTTGCACATTAATTTCTCCTGCAAAAACCATTTTTTTTTGTTTGCCTTGATATGATTGGAGCCTAGCCAATATAGCAGTAGGCTTATCATCATTATTATTACTGGCCATTTTGTGATAGGGGTGGGTGGCATTGATCAGTGTTGGTCTGGGTTGGGTTTTTCATCATTGAGTCTTGGCAGCTGCTCTTCTTAAAAATCTTCTTGTCAATCGTTACAACAATTGACAACATTTTGCATTTTAAATGCATTTCACCTCACATTCTTTGTTTAGAGAAATTGACTTTAACCCTTCCTTTCTGCACTGTTTGCTTTGAGTTGTTTTGCTTGAGAGTTGGAAATCATTACTACTGTAGTGAGTTTCAGTTTCAGTATATGACCCACATTTGTGGCCCTGTGTCAGACTAACTTAGAAACTGAATGCATACTTTTGGAGCATTGTAAAACAAACTAATCTTTTTATTACAACTATTACTGTTATAAGGTGTTCCATTTTCATTGGATATCTTATATTTGTATGTGCTTTGGAATAGGCCAATGGTTAGTGAAGCTAAACTGGTCTGTCATTAATACTGAGTAATGGATTTGATCCTCAGTGGATGCCCTATACAAAATTTCAATATTACATGATATAACAAGTGTTGACACATGCTATAAGATCAACCAAGCAAATCTAAAATCATTTTCAATGCATTTTTCTAGCAAAATCATTTCCAATGCATTTTTATAGTAAAATCATTTCCAATGTATTTTCATAGTAAAAATCATTGTCATGTGCATTTTTATAGTAAAAATCATTAGCCAATGCATTTTCATAGTAAAAATCATTTCCAATGCATTTTCATATTAAAATAAAAATCATTGGCCAATGCATTTTCATAGTAAAAATCACTTCCAATAGATTTTCATATTAAAATCATTTCCAATGCATTTTCATAGTGAATTCATTTCCAATGCATTTTCATAGTGAATTCATTTCCAATGCATTTTCATAGTGAATTCATTTCCAATGCATTTTTATAATAAAAATCATTGGCTAATGCATTTTCATAGTAAAAATCACTTCCAAGAGATTTTCATATTAAAATCATTTCCAATGCATTTTCCTAGTAAAATCATTTTCAGGTGTGCTGATCTGGAGTATTTATTAGCAAGGCTCGTCTCACTGACCATTACTATTGAATAGTGGGTGTCCATACAAAATCTTGACATTAAATAACCTAACAGGTGTTGAAATATCATAAAATCAAACAACTTTTGACCTTGTGTCAGACTAAGATTTGTAAGTACCCACAGTTGCCATTCCATTTTTCTAATTCTGGAATCATTGGGAATAATGATCTTTTGAATTGTGATTTTCAATCTGCTTAGTTATTTTTCCAAGACAGTTAAATATTTAAAAAAAATAATTTTGGTATTTATGCTTTTAATCATACAATTTTGCAAAGTTTCCTTTCTTTTAAAATATCAGCCATATTTCAAAATTGCCTTTCAGATAAAAATCTAGGTTGGTAGTTGGGAATCTATTTCTGCAAAACCTATGTCATAAACGTTGACAGTGAAGGCCATATGCAAAACATGTACATCCTGCCAAAAAAAGTAACAAAATCCAAGGGACAAAGAGTAATAGAGAGGTGGTCAAAGGTCAGCTGCAATTATTGCAGTTGTCTTTGTTAATCAACAAAGGAGAAGAAAGCTTTTTATTATCGACATACCAACTTACTCTTAAGTTCCAAATACAGGAGGAGTGGGGGAGGGTCTCAATAAGTGTGCGTAGTTGGAATTTTTCTCACTATGCAGTAAACAGTCTTAAAGTGAGGGGGTCAGAAAAGTCTAAAAGAGGTGAAATTATGAAATCATGTGGTCTTAATAAGTTTGAAGGTTAGAAAATTTAAAAAAAAACAAAAAAACGAGTAATCAGCAGATTGACACTACAGAATTGCAACCAAAGAACTGTACGAAATAACAGAAACCATATCACTTCAGAACTACCAACAGCAGCAACAACTAAAATGGATAGCACATGTAACTAGAATAGAAAATAATGACACAATAAAAATGTTGACATTCCACACCACTTCAAAGGTTAGGAAGTCCTTATCAATACTGGAAAGAGTTATCATAGCTACTAGACTTGAGAAACTGGTTTTCCTAAAAAAAATTGTTTTAAGAGAAAGATTTTATAAATTTCAACCAAAACTTGTACTAGTTGTTTAGTCAATGAATGCTGTATGTTTCCTTATAAGGAAACAGCTAATATTACCATTTCCATTTGTAAAAGCCAGGTACTTGACAAATTGTAGATGTTGAGTGTGTATTTTGGGAAAGGTAAATAATAGAAACCATATCACTTGAGTACTTGCAATGGCTAAAATGGATATCACATGTAACTCAAAGAGAAAATAATGACATTATCAAGATGTTGACATTCCACACTACTTAAGATAAAAGGTTAGAAAGGAAACTACCATCCATACTGAAAAGAGTGATCATAGCAACTGGACTTGAGAAACCTGTTTTTTTTTTTTTAATTATTTTAAGAGAAAGATTTTATAAACTTCAGTTAAAAGCAGTACTGGCTGCTCTGTCAATGAATGCCAAATGTTTCCTTATAGGGAAACAGTTAATATTACCATTGCCATTCATGAATATCATAACTATTTTTTAAAGTTCTTGTTACAAAAGAAGAATTCAATGCAATTTCACCAAAATTCTCTTTCCCTACCACTACTCTGCAACCGTAGACCTCTACTGCAAGGTTTAAAAACTTAAGAGAAATTCAAAATGGGTCTCATTGTTGTAACTATTTACTAGTGAGGGATTATTTCCAATAAGTTAGGTTTTATTTTCAGTTTAAAGCAGCAACCCCCACTTTTTTTTTTTAATTTGGCCTCAATAGCGATCCTAGAGGCCACAACTCAGTACCAATACTAATTGTGAACTCCATAACCTTTTCAATGGCTCTTTAATCTTGTCCTTCTAGACTGGTTGCCAACCACAGCTAGAGAGCTCAGTCTGCCTTGCTATTTAACCTTGTTTTGTAGAAGGTTGACTGACCTTCACTAAAATGTTGAATATGGACTATAATAGAAGCTATTGACTATCAAAGTAGTCACAAGTTGGACACAAAGAAGTTGCACAGTAGTTACAAAGAAGTGTATCACACTAACTATAATATTTGCTAGTACTGTATTATTAATCTACATGACTAAACAGTTTCTTCACTAATCTTTTGTTCCAGTGCTTTCTTTGGTATATTATTAGCCAGAACAGCAAGCTTATATGAGCATTATAACAAACCCATAGATGAGAGTAGGGAAAAAAGAGATGGATTCAAATGTAATTAATCCATTTTTCCCACCCCCTATTTGCTACTAGATATAAAACAATTCAAGTTATCAATATAATACAGTGGTTCTACAGAAGGATGCTGAGAATACTAGTATAGAATATGTGAGCAATGAGGAAGTTGTAAGGAAAATAGGAACAAAAAGAATGCTTATACTTAAAATCAGAAAGAGATAGTTGAAATTTCTGGGACGCAATAAGGAAAGATGACTTGGAGAATTTGACACTTACAGGATATACTGAAGGGCAGAGAAAAACATTGAGTAACCTGCCTAATGAGCTTGTCTAAATGGATGGCAGTCCATGGGTAGATAAGAGGACAAACATTGCTTAGAGCTACAAAGGTTAGGAAGTTGTGGAGAGCCATGATCATCCACATTCTGAAGGGACATGGCACAAAAGAATGACCTCTAGTCTAGGATAATGACTCTAAATTAAAACAGTAACTTGAAAAGAGTGTTTCAATGAACCATCAGTGGGCCCTGACATATTTAAAAAAAATGTGAATATGGTTGAGTAAATATCTTGTTTTCTTGAAACAACAAATCTTCAATTTTTTTTTTTCTTGCAACTTCAGTTATCTATTGAAAATGATTCTTCGAGGCATATGAAATTTATTTTATCTTTAAGATATGCAAAGAGACAAGAAGGATCCCTTATAGTATCCTATTTTATCACCTTTTTTTTCCTTTTTTTTTTTTTTTTTTTTTTTTTTTTTTAAAGATATATGAACAAAGTTTCTTAGGCTAAAACTCTACATGAGATACTACACTTGAAGAAAAACTTAAAGCCACAGCTATTAAAAGAGATCCAAAGAAATGAAACTCAAAATTAGCCTTCCTCAGGAATGAAAACATATCTCAGTTCTAAGACTGGGCACATTGCTGGTTTTTACCAAATGTTCAGATATCACTGAACCAATTGTATTCATGCACATGGTGCAAATTGTCCACCCTACCCTTGCAAATATTGGCTGTTACATGCTGATTGATCTGTGTTTCTAACCATTGATCTGTTCTACCTATATAGTGTCACACTGACTTTTGAATTGGTTAAATAATATGCAATCATAAATTATCATTCCAATTATAAGTATTCACTATTTTCTTTAGCTAAGAAGAATCTGCAATGTTATTGATCCTGACCTGGCATCTCAACTTCAATCACTTTTCCACTGCCATAATGTAACATACCAGTACCTTTTTTTATAAATATTTTCTTGGTAATTGTTCTGATGAGCTTTCATCTTTATTACCAAGACTTTACAAATTTAAGTGCAATACTAGAGTGGCAGCTAGGTCTCATTATTTTTACAGTTGAAATGGCCGCTAGATGTAACTGTAAGTTCTATGCTGACAGTTTCTTCTTATGTTTCTCACTTATCAAACTCTTTTTGGGCTTTTTGCTTTCCAGTCAACTTTGATCTTCAAACATTTAAATGCAATATAAGTCATTATCTTCTGTGTTCTTAATTCCTCTTCTTTGTTCTCTCTCCCCTTAATAATGTTTCCTTTTTATATTTTCTCAAATTCAGTAACCCTTTGTGATTTAGTGGCTTTATTACCTTGCATGGGGTAAAATGATTAAAAAAATAACAGAAGTTATACAAGCTTTATTTTTCTCACCATTCATTTTTATTCATCTATGTTTAATCACCATATTACCGCTTTAACATATTTTCTATGTAGAAGTCTTGTTGGTTTGTTCACATCTATATTTTAAATTTTCTATTAATTGCTAGAATATTTCAAGTTGACCTCAGTGTCCTGTGTAGCAGGGTTGTCATGGAAACAACTTTTCTTCAGAGCTTTCATTTGTGTTTGAAAAATGTTCATACAAAGTAACAAAACATCAACACTTCTGTTTTAGAACTGTATATTCCCACCAGTTTTAACACACACACCCACACACGTGCGCATGCATGTGTGTGTATTTAGGTAGCAAATTCTTTTTTAGGCATGTCTGATTGAATAAATTACAGGCATTATGACTGAAGGTGGAGGGAGGTCAAGCCTGATTAAGACTCCCACCACTGTGCAGTACTTTGTGAATATTGTTGTTATCTTATCAAATACTTGCACCCCTGAAGATGATCTTGGAAGAAAATAAAAGAAATTTAAACAGCTATAGCACATTTCTCTCATCCTTTAACATCAATACACGGAAGGTTATTCGTGAGTATTAACAGATGTTGTTAAAAATTAGCAGCCATAATGTTTGTCAGTTATTCAATCAGACACACACACACACACACACACACACACATATATATATATGCTTTGCATTATATATAATTTCAGAAAAAAAAGTGTTTAAAAATTGTATTTGTCTTATTTTATGCTGATGAGAATAAGGATAAGTGAACATTTAATTTTCTTTATTAGTATTAATACTCTCTCTCTCTCTCTCTTTTTTGATACAGTCACTATAATTACTAAGACATCTTTCCTTAAAAGCTTTGTCCCCCAGAAATACTCTGGTTATCTGTTTTCTGAATTTTTTGCATTTCTTTTTTTGTTATACAATCTTTATTTTATATATATATATATATATATATATATATATATATTAAAAAATATAGTCTTAAGGTGTGCTATATTTATGGGATAAAGTGCTCAATATCAGAGATAGAGCGTAAAAGTGAATATAAAAGTGAACATAGAATATCAACACAACGTTATGCAATCGCCAGGCCTGTCTGTTTGCATCTAGCATGAAACAGACCTGTCGCCTAAGTGTTGACTTGTATGTTCACTTTTTTATATATATATATATATATATATATATATATTTCAGATAGAGTATATCTGTAAAAGAATAATATGAATAAAGACAAAAGGAAAACTCAGCCAATGTGTTTTATCAAAGCACATTTGCCTTGATAAAGTCCCACAGAGGATGAAATGTGTTAGCTAAGATAAGTTTTCCTTTTATGTTTATTCATATATGGCCTGGTGCGTACTACTTCTGAAACCTATGACTGGAGGTGGAGAGAAGTCAAGCCTGATTAAGAGCCCCCCCCCCCCCACGGGCAGTAGTTTGTGACTCTTGCTATCTTATCAACATTTGCTTTTTTTCTACCTACATTTATATACATTACAAATTAAACTAAGCAAAACTGACTTTTAATGGATGAAAAATTTTTTGCAGATTTTGACATCATTCTGAGCTTTTTTTTTTTTGTCCAAATCTGTGAATTTGTTTTGCGTATGCTGAAAAAAAAAAAACACTATATAAAATTCAATATTTTTATCCATAATGTCGAATCTGTTAAATTATTCAACTTTTCAACAAGAAAAATCTCGAGCTGATGTTAAATATTGCTGCAAAACAGTGTTGATATATTTAGAATTGAATGAACAATTGTGATAAGATTTTTTTTTTTTTAAAGCATTCCACCCCAAACAAGGCAGGAAGCCACTAGCACACAAGGGATTACAGAGAGTTGGAGCGAGAGCAAAGAGGCTTGATAGAAGAAAGGATGAAGAGAAGGACAGGGAATAGATAAAGGCATCTGGAGATGTCGATTGACATTACATTTGAATAGTTGGAGATTATAGCTATCAGGAAAACAAGAAATGGAGAGGGTGTTCCACAGGCAAGAAGTGCGAGACATGAAGCTATTGGAGTAGAAGAGATGGCTACATTTAACAATTTCAAAAGTGAAAGGGTGACAGCGAGATGCCAGCCTAGTTGAACGCTTAAATTCATGAAGTCTGGGAACCAGCGAAAGCAGCTCATCAGAGCAGTTGCCATGAAAGTATCTGTAAAAAAGACACAGGGAGGCAACAGCATGTCTGTGAGACAGAGAGACTGCAGATGAGATGCCAGATCAGGGATAATTACATTGCATATCCGTCTTTAGATTTTATCAAGGACCTTGAGACAAACAGAAGGGGCTCCAGACCATATTTCTATTTAGGTACATAGCCCAGTGGACAAAGGCATTGGTTGAGTAATCCAAAGACCTAAAGAGTTGTGAGTTCAATACCTGGCCACAGCAGAGGGAACAAAATCTTGGAGAGTTGATTTACTAAAAGGGAATTAACTGAAATTGAGATATCCAAAAGGCATGTAAAGGCTGGAGCATACAATGGCTGAAACATTGTGAATATGGCATTAAAGATTAGAACATCAGTCTAAATTTTGTAAATAGTATAAATATACATTGTATTTATTTTCAATTTTTCTTGTTGAATTGTTCACCTATATTGCATATGATCCATTATTGAACATTTTTTGGTTACAGTAAAATCTGTATTTTATATGAATACTAATTTATGAAAATTGAGATGTAGTAGAGTGGAGTGGCTCCAGCCCAGTATATATGATAGACTCCTCTGTTGATTTTGATATATGAGGATCCAACAATCTCATTCAGTTTTTATGTTTGTGTTGTATATAATGTTTCAGTCACTCTAGTGACCTGCATACAAGTCCACATATTGTGCAGCAGCAAGAATCTTAGGACATAACAACAGGAATATTTGCTGATGCTTTTTTGACATTATCTTTGTTGTGTCTATAGTTTGTTGGTTGCAGTGGTAAGTTGACATATTGTAATGATAAAAAATATGTAAGAAAGGAAAATGAAACAAGAGATGTACAACATAACATGTTTATTCATCAACTGAACATAGAACAGAAAAAGTACAGGAAGTATAAAATTAACGCTTTTTTTTTTAGAGAGTTCCTTAGAAAGGGAGATAACTGTATCTACAGTTTACTCTCATCTCTTAGCCTGTCTGATATCACTCTGGGACAAATATCTCCAGTTATTTCTATCCAGGGCAACTCACTTGAAATTAGGATGGAGTAGAACCATATATATATATATATATATATATATATATATATAATAACAAAAATACTAAAGAACTTTGGATTATTTACCTAACGAGTTCTTTCCTATTTTCTATATATTTTTCACATATATATATATATATATATATAATTTTAGAAAAATTTAATGTTAAATTGATTTTAATAACAAAAATTGTCTAAAATTGTCTTTCTTTTTATTTCAGGCTGATGAGAGCATCAATGATGAACTAGAAGCAGCTCAAATGACCAAACGACGTGTTGACCATCTAAAGGAATATGACAGTAGCCAGTCTAGTGCCATGTCCTTATGGAAGAAAACTCGTCTTGACCGAATGTTAGTGGAATACTTTCTGAGGGCCGGCTATTATAATGCTGCACTTCGACTAGCAAAACATTCAGAAATTGAGGTAACATCATTTCCTTGTTATTTGTACAAAGTAATTTAAGATGCCGACACTGACCAATATTGATGGTATTGATTTTAGTTTTATCTTGCAAACTGAACTAAGACGAGAAATTTTGGATTTTTGCAAAACTGTTTCAGTCTGCTGATAACGTGGGTGGAATTGAAGGGAAATTGGAAAACGAGGGGTTTGAAGAATTGGAATATTGAAAAGCTGCAGTAGGTTATGGGAAATATCGACAAGAAATTGGTAATTGAAACTATTTTATTGTTCAGATTGGAAAATATAAATGTAATTTAAATTGAATGTCTAAAGAAGGGTAAACATGGACTTTCAGACCTACAAAAAAATGGAGTGTCAAAAAGACAGTTTTTCCCTTGACACTACTATTATTTTGTCTACCTTCCATTCTCAGCAATGTTTATTTCTTTTAAGTGTTAATTAGAATTGTAATAAAACCTAAACATATGATGAAAGTGAATTTATACAGTTTTTTTGTTCTTGAGAATTTACAACAAAAATATCAAAATATAATCTCATATTTACAACATTCTAAAACCTAATACAATTAGAACTAATGCAATGCAATATTTATCATTTACCAATTTATAAAGAAATAAATGTGAAAACAATTTTTTATTCATGAATTTATAAACATTTAGTAAATTATTGAAATATGTGAACCAACTATAAGCAAATCCTTATTTACCATTTTATAAACTTTGAACTGATTGGCAATTAGCCAATGTTTTGCCAATCATTCCAATAAACAATCTAATAAATAAATAGTGTTTATTATTTATTGTTGTCAATTCTCAAGAACAAAGAAAATGTATCAATTCACTTTCATATGTTTAAGTTCTATTACAATTCTAATCCTCAGTTTTTAAAACTGTTGTGACCTAGCGAAGATCACTGAATAGAATAATCAAATGAAGGTTGGTAATGAACAATAATACTTAGGACAAGAACAACACATATAAGATTCGCCAGTGGCGTGTAGTAGTATTCAACTGTTAGAAGTGAGTCAAGTAAATTCCACCATGAATTTCCAACTGTAGACCAACATACAGTAATAAATACTGTATTTATGTGAATGGGGACATACCTATTATCATCCATAGGTATGCTATAACAAAAGCAATGAACATTGCTGAAGAGTGACAGTAATTAAAATAAAAGTGGTATCATGGGAAAAACTATCTTTTCAACACCATGTTTTTTGCAGGCACAAGGGTCAATTTTTGCTGTACATAGGTAACTATATAATATAATACTATATAACTATATACAACTAAAGAATATAGGTAACTAGTAGAGTATCAGTGAAAATGACAGGATTATTTATGCATGGATACATTATATAAATTATAAAAATACAATTATATTAATTGTATTTTTGTAAAAACAGGCAGCGTGCGATGGATAAATTGTCGTCTAAATTACGCAAAAATGAAAATGATACTGACATATCATTTTAACAGATATATTTACCAAAATTGCACAAAAATACCTTGAAATACTATAGAGTAAATTTATTTAATAAAATTGCCATTGGAATCAACCACGGTCTCCAGACAACTTCAGAATCTCCTGCAAATCTTCTGGATGGTCTCCTTGGTGAATGCTACCATAATCTTTGCCTTCAGTTCATCTTTGTTGTTACAAGGAGTTTTGTTGTTCTTTCACTCAACTGCACCCCACACGTAATAATCATGGCGGTTGCCGTCTGTGGAGTTAGGTGGCTAAATATAAGAGGAGACATGGTTGCAAAAATTGTCTAACAGCCATGACTGGGTTCTCCTGCCTGTGTGGCATGGTACTAGACATAAGGTCTTCCAGCAGCCACCCTCTTGACCTAGGAAGCATTACCTCCTCAAGGCACTTGATGTTGATGTAGGCCTCTTTGTTGAGTCTGAGACTCTGTGGGAAGACATAATGCCAAGCATTTGAGCATGCCATTTCCAAATTTCTAGCAGGGTGAATGGCATCATATTACTCTTTTTCTCACAGACAGTACCCAACTGACTCTACTATATTATGCTGTCAACAAAATCAAAAACAAACATGTGTGAAATTAAAAATATAAAATGGTGACAATCCATCGCACAATGTATTTTAATGGGTAGAGAATTTAAGAACTGTGATGCTAAGGATACCATGGACCAAACATGTGAGCAACAATGATATTTTGGAGAGGATGCAAACAAGGAGGAAGCTTATACTTAACGCTAGGAAAAGGCAGCTGAAATTTCTGGGATGCGTAATGAGAAAGGAAGGTTTGGAGAAAGAACAGGCCAAAGAAGAAAGGAAATTATTATTAGTTTATCTTTCAGATTTGTTTATTGTCATTACTAATGCAAATTGTTACTCTTTTCATTAGGAAAGGTGAGGTTGTCTCCCTTGGGAGTAAGATGAATTCTTAGTTGAAAAAAACCAATAGTCATAGTCAACACTTGCTTGCATGTGAACATCTGGATCATCATCCTTTCTCCTTATCCCCTTTTTCCCCCCACTGTTAAAAAAAATTGTGATGAAACAATTTAGCAAATAGCATTTTTATTGACAGACAGGATTTTTCTTCTGTAGTCAACTTAATATTAAATTTGTCATATGTTAAAACAGAAATGGTATTGTATTTTTTTTTCAATAAATTAAATATTGCAATAATAATAAAATTAACTGTTAACCTTTAAAATTCTGCAGGGGATTTTGTTTGCAAAGCAAACATTTTATCCTGCCACTGTGAGTGACTCAGATTAATGAATGGTAGCATATTTGACTTTTGAAGTTGTGTTGTCATATCCTGCTATAGCAACAGAAAATGACTGACTGAAATTAAGTAGTGTAGTAGAGGAGCCTTGAAAAACAATGCAGTGAAAAGAAAATTAGTGAATAATGTAGAGTGTTAAAGGTTAACAAAATGATCAAAGTTGTGATGATTGTCTTATTCTTATCAGAGTAATATATAGTCATCAGTAACTTAATACAGACCCAGGACTAACCAAAACATTTTAATACGTTGCTTCCAAGAATCAGGAATAGCAATCTATCAAAAGATTATCATTGGAATTTGTTTGCTATCATTGTTAATGCAGAAATACAGTAAATTGTCATCTTTTCATTTGTAAAACTAAGATTGTATCATTTGTAATGTGAAACATTAATGGAAACAGTTTGTTAATAGGTTGTGTATAATAATTCAGAAAATAGCAAACTTACTGACATGTTGAATTTTCTTCTCTCAATGTTTTATTTGTTGCATGTTCAAAAATGCTAACTTATTTGTATTTTCTTAAATAAAATAAACATTTCTATAATAATAAAATTATTTATTAAAGAAATAATCATAAAAATTGTCATCATCATCATCATCATTATTTAACTGCAGATGGGATCATGAAGCCAATGCAAACAATCCTTTCTTTAGATGTATGTGTTACACCAGGTCTACATACAGTTTTGAATTCAGACTTATTTTCTCCTAGACTGGTTGCCACCAAAGCTATAGAACCCAGTCCTGCTATTTGCCTATAACTAGGGGGAAAAGAGGGCTTGGAAAATTTAATGCTCACAGGAAATATTGACGGCAAGAAAGACAAACAAAAGCAGTGCTTAATCTACCTAAATAGGTTTGGGTAAATGGATGGCCAAACACAGTTTAGGAGAGATAGCAAAAAGATAAAATTTATAAAGAGTTACAAAGGACAGGAAATTGTGGAGAGCCATGATTGCCAATGTCTTGAAAGGGACATGACATGTAGAAGATGATCTATGTAATCATGAATTACATAAACAGTTTTATGAAAATGGTCTCTTCAAATGACAATATGACCTTATTTTTTCTCTCTTTGTTTTTTTTAAGCTGTCATATTTGATAGCATGTCATACTGCCACCTCCTTATGCACACTAAATAGCTTAATCTATCATTCAGGTCTTATATGTAAAGACTAGCAGCATGACCCGGCGTTGCCCGTGCTTGATTCAAAAATTGTACGACTCATACAGCAATCGCTATCACTTGACTTAAAATATTTTTGCCCTTCCTTGCCTTTAAAGGAGTGCCCTTTGCCATGCTGATGTTGCTACATGCCTTACTTCTTGCCTATCTCACATTGCGAATTTTTTCTAAGCTCTATACTAAACATTAAATCTGTTACGAAAAAAAGAACTAAACAAAATGAACACAAAACAATCAGCTTTAAAAAAGGACTCGTAACTGGAAAAACCGAATGAAAAAAGAATGTTAACAACAAATACTTTTTCACACCCAACCCAGTTCTGCGGAATCAGAATCAACGTTGAGTCTAAGCAAGCGAATGAGCCAATTGGAGTAAAGTGCTATGCAGATTTAAATTTTTCCCACTTGTGACAAATGCAGCTATTGATTTTTTTTTTTTGCATGCTAGCATGCTAGTTAACATTCGTGCCAGTCAGCTGTTGGTTCTCACGCTGGCCAATAGAATCTTCCTGCCTATTTGTGGCAACCAGCTTATTGGCTCTCACTCTGGCCAGTAGAAAATGGCTGCAAACTACATGAAAACTGCTGTAGAAGCATGAAAAATTGATTATTTCCACTATTGATGGGAGTTGGGAAATGCAAAGTCAGTCTTGGCCTTCCCGCTTTCTTGGAGCATGTGCATGTCGAAAATTGCGGCCGTGCATTCGTTACACACACACACACACATCCTGCCTTTTATAGATAGAGATGAGGCATTTAGAAGGTGACCTAGCCTAACTATATAATACTTTAATATTAAATGTGAAATATGGTACACACAAACTGTAAATCCGACCATTTTACAAATGATATTATCACACTTTATATATACTTTCTCTTATGTTACAATTAAGTCCTTCTGACCAGTTCTTCAAGGCCAACTCTAAAATATACTGTACCTCCTGTGATAATTGCTAAAACAAAACTTTCAAAAATCCTTGTTTGCTTGGCATTCTCACATTTGCATTTTACAATTGTTTTTTATGACTTATCAACCCTTTGCAGGTTATTTAAAGCCATAAATATTCTCAGATTGTAAGAATTTTTTTGAGATAATAATAATTTACTGATACAAGTCTTACTAATTAACCCATAGATGGGGGAGGAAGAGGTGGATTCATAACTTTCTTAAGGGTATTTGCACATAAGTGAATATAACGACCCAACTGAAATTGGAACTCAGTTCTCCAATTTCAAATTCTAATCTGTTATCGATTAAACTGTTTGCACATCTAAGCTTAGAGCAACTGATATTCCCAAGCAGTCACCCATTTAGATAGTGACTAGGCTCGACATTGCTTAACTTTGGTGATCATATGAGAATTGGTGTTTCATCATATGGTCATAAGATTGAGCACAAACCTTATTCTTCATGCTTTTGAAAGACGTCTGTTACAAATCTATCAAGAATGGACATGTCTTGCATGAATGTTGTTTTTTAAAATTTAATTTGATTTCACTGACCAACTGCTGGCACTGAAAGCAAATTCTAAGGCATGTCATTTATTGTATGCATTATAGGATTGTCAGGCAGTTAAGCATAAATCTATCTTACTTCTAAGCTAATGGTTTAAGCCATGTGTTTAGCTGCTCTAATTTAATATACTCTGATGAAAAACTTCATTCAAACTTTGATATATGCATTAATAGAGTCTTCTTGTAAATGAATATATTTTAATGGCCTTATTCTTCAAGCTGTGTCAGGAATGACCAGCTTTCTGATTAATTTGGTTTTGGTTATTGCACACACACACACACACACACACACACACACACACACACACACATCAGGCATTGTTGAAGTGTTCTCAGCTTAACCTGCTTCTTCCTAAACAAAATCTAACCAAATGACTAAGCATCAAAATAATTTTTTGTAGACTATTATTGGTCAGGCTGAAAACTTTTCAGCATGCCCTTTTACACACACACACATATTCATGTTGAATTGTATATAGTCTATGTTTATTATGTTTTATGAATATGTCCTGAAGTTGGTCTATTAGACCGAAACGTCCGACGTTGACATTAAACATTAAAACAGCATAATCGCATATTAGGATTTTTGTTTGTTTTTTCAGTATATTTTTCTTCATACTGTCAGATCTATATCCATATATTTGTTTATATATATATATATATATATATATATATATATATATATATATATATTGTATTTGTAATACCAGGGTGCCAAATCTGTAAATATGTCATGATAGCATTTTCAACCCCTGGCACCTACACAGTATTCTGAACACCAGCTTTCACTTGTGATATATTAAATCTTATATATTTACTTCATGGAATTCCATCTTCAGGTCAGTAGCCATAAAAAAACATCAAAACAAAGACAACAATTTCTCTGTTACTGTACACTTTAACCAATTGGATGCTGGATTAAAAATAAATCCATTAATTATGTTTGCATGCACACACACACACATACACAAATGTGTGTGTACAATATGGACATAGGAATCAACACTGCATGGTGACTATCAATTTCTCATCTCAATGTGATTTCCAGAGAAACTGTTACTACTCCTTTAGCTGTTGCTATATGTAGATCAGTGAGGTGAAAGTCTAGAAACAAACACTAACTAGATAAAGCTTGCAAGAAAGACAAAACAGACACCTACGTTACCAAAAAGCAATAGTGCTTAATGCTCATAGTATGAAGAAACCCAAAATGGGAAGCTAAACCAAGACTGAACTTTACCAACAAAAAACTATCATCTGATGATTTTTGATGTGGAATTCAGTGTCAGTTATAGGTCAGTGTCTTTTGACATATTCATATTTGTTGTAATATGGATACTTAGCTGAGTAGAGTAGTTAGAATGTTTGTTTTCTGACCAGGGTTCAGATTTCTTGTTGTTATCAGCTTGGGGAGACAATCGAAGCATGTCGCACTGTTGGATGGAAAGGGCTTGAAAACAATACCAGAAGTTAACCCAAACTTTGTGAATGAAATTGGGTAGACAGATCTATTCAGAAGCTGTCAATAGCTGGCATAAAGTCACAAGTCATCATGACCAAGGGTTTCAGCACACTGACTTTGTTGAAACTGTTGATCATGCCAGATTATGCACTCTCTCTCTCTCTCTCTCCAAAACTGTAAGCTCAGAACAGTTGCAGGTGAACACCGTAGATGTTGAAAAAAACATAAATATACCCGAGCAGGTGTCTGACCAATCACCAAACATTTTATCCCTGTCTTGGTCAGGTTGATTGGTTTGGTTTATTTTGTTTTACAGAATATCAACCTTAGTTGGCTATTTAATGCTGACAAGATATTTAGGATATGTCCGTATGAATAGAATATCTATTCTTTCTAAGAAATTAGTTTGTAGGAGATCAGGTTTCATTGACGTATCTTTGTAGAGAGGGTTTTTGCCAAGAATCAAATATATTGCTGGTAATATTTTTTTAAAAAAAAAAGGGTGGGGAGAAAAAAGCTAATAAACTATTTTTAGACATTCATAGTGTTTTGACCCTAGTTTGGTTGGGGATTAACTATTTGCCCATAGTTGGGACCTTAACAGGTTCTACCACCCTGGGTTAGGATAGACCTGGGAACAACAGCAATTAAGAGGTGGTTCAACGTTCCTCAAAATGTTCCTCTCAGAAGCCTTGTTGTTGGATGTAGTTTATTGTCATATCCAGGATGACTTGGTCAGGTTGAGAACTTTGCAATATCCCCTTGTGTGTATGTGTGATGAACAATATCTTGTCTATATGAATTTCTGGGATGAGATGCTATTATTGTTTACAATTTATTTATAATAGCAACAAAGACGAGGACATCTGTCTGAATATGAATAATGTAAATAATATGTTCTTTTTTTTTGTATTTTTCTAATTTAATGTTTTTCTCTGACATTTTTCAGGATTTGACAAATATTGATTTATTCCTCAACTCCAAAGAAGTGGAAGAATCTCTTCTGAGACGAGAAACTTGTCTTTGCTTATCTTGGTGCCATGATAATAAATCTAAACTGAGAAAGTTGAAGGTATGTTGACCATTGGACATTTCTGGAAGGAGCAATTATTTTCAGTCTATATTTTAATATTTTTGATGTACAAATCTTATAAGTATGACACCTGTCCCATAATAGTCTTTACATTTTGATATGCATTTCTTGTACAAAATGTATCAACAATTGTGGGACAGAGGTAGCATTTCTACTTAATCCCATAGTTACATTTGCATGTGTAAGAAAATGTAAGAACTATTATGGGACAGAAACAGTAAAAATAATAATAATAATAATAATGGTTGCTACATTTATTACATGAAATATGTATGCAAATATGACCATTATGGGACAGAGGTAGCATTTTTACTCAGTCCCAGAATGGTTGATACATTTGCATACACATTTCATGCACTAAATGTATCAAGTATTATAGGACAGAGGTAGCATTTTTATTCTCTCTTTCACATAATACTTGTTAAATTTGCATATACATTTCATATCCCAACTGTAACAAACATTATGGAATAGAGCTAATATCACACAAAGGGAACAACAGTAGCTTAAAAAAAAAAAATTACAATTATTGCTTTTTGAATCTTCACAACATTATAGTGCTGAAATTTCAATATATTTATTTCTTAACGTTTACATAATTCTTAATTCTAGAACAGAGATAAGTTTCGTTTTTTTTTATCCTAATGAACCAATATTTTTAAATCAGGTCTGTGAGTGTAAAATTAAGTGAGTGAGTCTGTAAAATTAAGTCTGTGAGTGTAAAACATTCAAAATGTTTAATTATATTTCAAATTAAAATCCAATGACAGAGATGTTTCTCATAAAAATTTGTTTTCTTATTTTTTTTTACGAGTGGCAATGCGAAAAAGAATAAAGATTTATTGTTGATATCATCTGCATTGTTATATGACTATCACTTTATTGCAGCTAAAAAGATAGAAATTCGGTGTGAATTTAAACTCCAAAAGAAAATGTTCTGCATTGTAACTATTTGTTTTCTTTATTACAAGATGCTGAGTATAAATAATATTTTGAATTTTTGTCTACAACTAGTTAATACATTCAGTTAATGTTTGTTCTGTCAGCAAGGCTTAAACAATGCTAACTGCACTCAAGAAGAGGGATAAAACAATGCCTATCAAAAAAAAAAAAAAAAAAAGAAGAAATTTCCTCTTTTCAGGTGGATGCTTGCAAACTCGAATATAAATCTGATTAATGCTTACCTTTTTGGCTCAGGTATAAACTATTTGACTCAAGTATAAACTGGAACAGTGTTTGCTTTTTGATGTATAGATATAAGCTGTGTGAACAAATTCATTAGAATTTTTCTCTTGTAAGATTTGTTTTCAATATTAAATGACCAGTGCTACTTAAGTAGACAGTTCCACTTGTAAAAAAATAAAAAGGAAAACATTTTTGGAAAATCATTTTGTTTGTAAATTAGCATTCTTTTGACCTCTCTCAAGGCACAGCATTTGTCAGAATAAAAAAAAAATACTGAATTATTTTATCGATTTAGAAGGGGGATCCTGTTAATGATATTGAGATAGCATAAAATCGGTCCCTGGCTTTTTCCAGAGTTATCGGAACTGTTCTGTGTCTGAAAGGAGATTTAGCAATTCTTAGAGATTATTATATTACTTAAGCATAATAGAAAATCAATCCCCCACAGTCCAGTAGAAACTTATATTAATAATAATTGCGTCTGCTCAGTCTCATGTTGACTGCTGACCTGAGATGGAACAAATACATTGAATCAATTGCTTCTTCCACCGTGAGGAAAGTTGGCTCTCTGTGCCGCGCCAGGAAATTTTTCTCCCCGGAATCGATACTTCAAATATACAAAACAACCATTCACCCTTGCATGGAGTATTGCTGCCATATATGGTCTGGGGCACCTTCTGTTTACATCGGAGTTCTTGACAAGATCCAGAGATGGATATGTAATGTAATTGGCCCTGATCTGGCGCCTCTGCCTGCAGTCACTCTCTCACAGACGCGTCAAAAGCCTCTCTCTGTCTTTTTTTTACAAATACTTTCATGGTAATTGCCCTGATGAGCTGCTTTCATTGGTTCCCAGACTCCATGAATTCAAGCGCCCTACAAGGCTGGCATCCCACTCCCACCCTTACACTGTAGAAACATGTAAATGTAGCCGTCTCTTCTACTCCAATAGCTTCATACCTTGAACCTCTCGCCTGTGGAACACCCTTCCCAATTACTGTTTCCCTGAAAGCTATAATCTCCAACTATTCAAATGTAATGTCAATCGACATCTCCAGTTACCTTGATCTATCCACTATCCCTCTCCTCATCCTTTCTTCTATCACTCCTATCTGATCTTGCTCCAAATCTTCTGCAACCCCCTGCATCCTAGTGGCTTCACGCCTTGCTCAGGGCGTAATGCTTAAAAGAAAAAAAAAATTTATGGTAACATGCATGTAATTGACACAAATATTATGACTAAAACCTGAAACTTCTTGTCATTACTTGGAAGAGATACTCAGAAGGCTACTTGACTAATAATGAAAATTTGACTTGCCACTTGCTAAATATTAAGGAAAGATATTTTGTAGAGTTTTCAAACACTGTATGGTACTAACAGAGGATTAATCACTATAATATAGTGAAATACTATATATATTAAACTTGATCAGCTACAAGGCTACAAATGTGAAACTGCTAATACAAATATGGTCGATATGTCACTCTCACCCCCCACTCCATGGTTCTGTCTCTCCACAAATTGGCCTCCTTATTACTAATATATTTATTTTAGATCTGAGGACATCTTTGAGTGAAGTTGGTTGTGATATCCATTGAACTGGAAAATTCTTGTTACAAGAAAAAAAATGTAATTTGTAGCATAGACAAAAAAACACCTGTTTATAAAAAAATAAAATGACGTGTTTATACAGTTAAGGTTACAAGTTTTGATTATTAACCCTTCAGTGGTACTGTGGTTTTCCTCATTATGGTCAGTCAGTTCTCATGTTGTCAACCTTCATTGAATCAGTAGTTGGCTTAGAAGTCAGATAACTATGGTGTCAGGTCTTCAAAGCCTGTCTTCAATCTTCCTTGACTTTTCTGCAATTGGTAATTCTCACTGTTTAATCTTCTCAGGTTTTTTAATACATTCATCCTGCAAGGGTGGTTTGCCTATTGGGTGTGGCTCATTTTGTCTTCTTGACAACAACTGTCCAAGAAGCAGAATTAAATGTCTTATATTGAAGATCCCTAAGGATGGTTGGGCTAACTGGTTAATGATCCATAAATCCCAGTCAGTCAGTTCTGACATTCTTCCAAATTTGACTTGGTCAATTTCTTCTCTGGGTTCAGTGTTGCTACACTGCAGTTCCATTGATCCAGGTTCCTCTCCCTTGTACCATCAGGGCAGGATAATCCAGTTAAGGTCAATTAAAGTTTCTGGTGAAAATTATAATTTTCCAGCATCAGCATTATCTGTTGACACTCATCTTGACTAACTTGCTAACCACTGCAATAAGAGGCATCTTTCTAGGTTTTTGCTAGAATGAAAAACATGACTTCAATTATGACAAATTAGAATATCTTTCATCTTTTTATACTAACTAGACTCTTCCTTCCTAATTAAAATGTTCCACACACCTACCATTCCATGATAGATAATTATAGTTGTTGTAGTGGATAGTTAACGAGCTTCCTTTTCTATGTACCATGTCCTCTCAGGACGTTGGACATCATGGTTCATTCAGAATCTCCTGTCTTTTGTAGCTCTTAATAAATATTGTCTTTTTGTTATTTTTCCTGAACCTTGTTCTGCCATCCACTTAATCAAGCTCACTAGGTACGCTATGAGTTGTTTTCCTCTCTCCCTCTTCTCTTCAATTTGTCTTGTGAGTATCAAATTTTCCAAGCCTTTTTTTTTCATTATGTGCTCAAGAAATTTCAATTCTCTCTTCCTAATGTTAATATAATTGTCCTTTTTGTTTACATTTTCTCTAAAGCTTTGTTGTTGCTCACATGTTCAGTTCATAGCATTCTCAGCATCCTTTTATAGAACCACATGAATGATTGTGTCTGGTTTTATATATATATATATGCATTATATACACACATACACATATATATTTATATACATACACAATCTTGTAAGAATTCTTTCTTGAATCTTTTTATATTTGCATGTAAATTGTATTTAATTTCTTTCTTTTATGGTCTTCCCAATCTTGCAAATTTCCATAGGCAAATTGTAACTTACTCTACTGAGATTATTTATTACATGTTTTAATCTAATATTTCGACTCTTTCATATGTATTTTTTAAGCGTAGTTTTTCATTTAATTACAGGCTTAAAACTATTTTTATCACTTTCCTTTAGGCTTTGTTAATTTTCCCATATGATTTGTACTTTTGGATTATATATTAAGTGCGTGTGCAAACACATACACACTTATCTTAACATTTTCTTATATATAAGTCACCTTGATAGTTCACAGATATTTATTTTATTTACAATTATTTACTTTTAATTTTATTAATTGTGAAATTTTCAAATTAATCTCAGCATTTCTAAGTAGCAAGTTTGCCATGGTAACAACTTTTTTTCTTTAATTTTTCATATATGCACAGGCCAATCATCAGGCATGGATAGAAATTGAGTTTTCAATCCATGCCTGTTAATTTCCACGTACATGAAACTGTGTCAGACTGTGAGGAAAAATGTATATATATTATGAGTAGTATATATATATATATATATATATATATATATATATATATATACTGTCTGTTTCATGCATAAATGCAATCTTCAGGCCTGAAGATTTGTGTTTAAACATGAAACAGACTGTTTCTACTGGTGTCGACCTCATTGTCCACTCTCTCTCTCTCTCTCTCTCTCTATATATATATATATATATATATATATATATATAGTTATATTTATGGGTTAAAGTGCTCAATATCAGAGATAGAGTAGATGTAAATATAAAAGTGGACATTGAGGTCAACACCCAATAGCAACGACAGTCTATTTC